AAAGGTGTCTTCCAGACAAGACTGCTAGCTCAGAAACATGCATTGCAGAGGTGTTAGCAACAAGAAAGGCAAGCTAGTGTGTAAAATGGAAAAAGGGGAGTATCCCTGATAGATTCTAAAGGCAGTTTTTGGAGAGCCAAAATAACCCAATTTAGATCTTTCAGAGTCCCGGCTGGATCTATATGGAAGACCTGTGCAGAAGCATTAACCAAATAATTAGCAGCGAGTTAGATTACGTCCGAGTAGCATATCCATCTGGACCAATTTGGTGATATGGTAATTACTTGAATTCTCTTCATCTCAATTCTGTGGAGTAATGAAGGAGTTTTATAGAAGGAAAAGCATAGATCAGGTTGTACTGATTCCATGGAGCCACCAGAGCATCCACTGTTACCACCAATATATTTCTGCATCCAAAGACACATTAGGATGTATTTACTAAAGCTGCAGAGTGCAAAATCAGGCTCACTTCCTCATAGAAACAAATCAGCTTCTAAAGTCACTACTTGTTCAATTAAGCTTTGGCAATAAAACCCGTCAGCTAATTGACTTCTATGCAGAACTGAGCATGATTTTACACTCTCTAGCTTTAGAAAATAATCCCCATTTTGTCAGTTTGTGGTTTAATCTGAAGGTCAGGAGATCCAGAGCTGTATTCCTGAGCCACCAGACTACAGGTAACATGGTCTTGGGAGGTTCTTGGATTGTATAGTCAGAATCTGTGTGTGTTGTCTTACGGAAGAAAAACTCTGGACTCGGCAGTATCTAGAATGAAACCCAGATACTCCAAAATGATGATCTGGTTGATTTCAGAATGTTCAGGATCCAGCCAAGCAATGGGAAGGGTCTAAAAGTGTCTTCACCACATTGTCATAAAAAGCCTGAGCCACCTGTTCCCTCAACTGGAGATCATCCAAGTATTCTTGGATGCCCACCTAAAAACACAAATAGCATTGGTGACCTGGAAATATGGGGACATGCAAGTATACATCCTTGATGTCCACACATGCTTGACAATCTCCACGTTGGAGAGAATCTATTCCAGACCTGTTTGAATCCATGCAAAATTATTTGGAAGTAAATTAAAAACTTAAGGCTTTTTAAACCAAGATGGGGCGAATTACCCCTTTTGGTTTGGAAACAGTGAACACGTTTGAGTAAAAACCCTGAAACCTTTCACTTCAGGACCTGTATATCAGGAGAGTTGACCACCACTTATTAAAATGGTTCACAGTTCTCTCTTTACCTCATCATGCTTCACTTTAAATAAATAGTTATTTAAGGGTGGAGGTCTTCTTCATACACCTCAAAACGTGCTTGACAGGAAGAACAAACAAAAGACAAAAAGGCAGCTAATTTCTAAAGGGACTGTAAAAAGAGGACTTTTCTAAGATTTAAACAGTAGCACAGACATTTGTAACAACAGGACCTGTCACATCTGTAAATCTATAGTGACACCTTAGAGTACAGTCTTGCACCTTTAAAGAAATCATTAAAAAAAAACAATAAAACATCTTACTGGTTTAGTTTGCAGACACTGAGGCATTTACAATAAACAAAATAATCATATACAACTATGTACACATAAACACAATTTGTTCTTTAGTGTAGGAGTTTGGGTAACACTTCAGGTAAGTGGTTGATGTAGTGGGACTGGTTTTGGATAGAGGCATGTTGGTAGATTTGGCACACCCAGAACGAGCTTAATAGAGGTACCTTAATTTCATGTGCTGAACACTGATGGTGGAGGTGAAGAAGGTTCAACTGGTGGCTAGGGACCACTTCACATGTGTACAATGCTCCATACTGTTAGAACAAAAGCCTGAGTAACACAGATACAAGATCCAAACGGGCAAAGGCATAGCTTACCTTTAGTGTAAACTGTCTGCAAGATCATTAGCTCCAGAGATATAAGTAGTTAAATATATGCAAATCTTTTTCCTGTAAAAGTCAAGCATGGCCCAACACCATTTCAAGGCTCCATAATGGTCAGCAAGGCCACTCATTACTTAGAGGGCTAATAGGGAAGCTTGGATGGTGGGATGGATTGGGTTCAAGGTAGACTCTTAGGCTGGCTTAACATGTATGTGTACCTGTTGTAATTTGCATTGGACACATGCATCGTGCATGTGTTTTTGGGGATGCACTAATTTTTTGGGCCCCCAAATGCACATCCATGCAGTTAATACACACAACCCTGTAACACATCATATACAGCACATTTGAAAACACCCACTTTTCTATGGAAGAAGATGGGGTTAGAAATGCTTTGAGATACAGTACCACAATAATTTTAGCTGCCTATATCTCTAGATCTACTCATCCTGATGTGGCTTTTACTGACAGTAACTTCCCATTGGGTGTTTTTGCATCATTTCCTCACTTTTAATCTCAGGTTTTTGACAGGTTAACTTTAACGGTTTCTATGCCACCACCTACAAAGGTGTCTAGTGTTGGCTAAAATATGGAAGAAAGTTAAAAGGCTTGGCAGTCGATTCTTGACAGGAAATAAGACCCAGCATACATAGGCATTAACTTGTAAATGCCAGACTGAGAATTAGGTACAGCAAGCACTAAGAAAGCATTGCACAGGCTCCCAGCTGCTTTCTGAACTCCCGCCTGGAAGTGCCAAGTACAGATCTGTACTGAGAGAAATAGAGGGCCAGCCATAACGGCTCTCTTTGACCTTAATGCTTTTTCAGTCAGCTCCTGATCCCCATACTTACTCAAGGTTATGGCCTGTTCACACAAATTGGTGTGATACAAGGCCATTTTTTTTTGATTCACCCAATTGCTAATCTGTGTGCTGTGTTGATATGACAGCCAAGTAAGCATTTCAGAAGGCAAAGTTGGAATATGGAAGCCTAAATGGTCTTCTCAGCAAAGGTTTCCTTTACGTCTTATTCAGATTGGTGTGTTATGATTATGGTATGGATTGGCATGGAAAAACCTGCGCTACTGTAATGTATGCACTGGGCAGCCTTGTGGTAACAATCATTTTGAATGACACTCCAAAGCACAGTCACAATAGTGGGCAATGCACCAGAGCTGCAGTACACTGAAATGTACATGTGTACCACCCCTGCTTTAGGAAAAATGGACTATTTCCCTAAGCACAGCTTAATACATTGTAATATGTTGCATTAATGCAATGCATAATTTACAAGTTGCTTTAAAGAAAACCATGAGAGAAACAGGAAGCATGCCATTGCAAAGCTTATTAAAAAATACTAGATCACTGGCTGTCATACCAAGACTCTTACTGTATTACTCGGCATCACTAATCTGGAAAAACATAGATGTCTAAACTGACTCAGAAAGCTCTAAAACCAGTGAGTTGGCATAACAGCCAGACTATTTCTGTGTTTTATGACAAATTCACTTTAAGTGGACTTTTAAATGGGGCTTAATAATGACATTCACATCGATTCCTTTAATTTCTAAAGAGCTCACGGGGCTACAGCGTTTACCTCCTAATTTCTAGTGCAAATGTCAGTTAAAGGCAAAGTCTATCCAACGCTGATTTATACTAGGTGGATTGCAGCTGCCGAGATTTTTCTGGGACTCCAGGTGAAAGATCTGTCTGCTGATTTCCTGGGCTGTACCCTACTGAGGAGTTAGGTAGTAACAATGACATGTTCCTTTCTACTAGAATCCTTTTCAGTGCCCCTGGAGTGCCAACACGCTGGGGGTCAGGAAGGCATTTTCCCCCTGGGCTGGCTCGAGTGAGATATGTTGGGCTGATGGTCCTGAGAGGAAATACTTCACCATTCAGACTATGATCATAGTAGGGTACGCAGTCAATGATATAAGATGGGCATCATGTTTCCTGTTCAGACCTGCGATCATAGCACCTGGTATAGGGAATCTTCCAGTACCAACTTCCACTGCCACTTTAAGATGTCAGGTGACTAAATGCATTGAACTGCAAATGAAGCTGACTTTGGAAAATACATCCACCCTACTTGGTTGTTTTTGCCCCCCAAATCAAAGGTTCCCAGTCCTCCCCTGTCCAATACCTTGATGTGCATAATAGACACATTTTTTTATCTAAATCAGAGTTCCAGCACATTTCAAAATCTAATTTATAGAGAGCCTTGCAATTGCTATCTTTGGTCAGCTCAAAGTGGAAATCGAGTCCAAAACTTTTTTTTTTTTTAATACGTCTTTAATGCATCTTAAGTTAGCGAGTACATCTTGATTGAAGGACAAAGGATTAGAACTACCGTAATAATACAAAGCAAAAAAAAAAAAAAAAGTTTTGGCTGGAGTTCCACTTTAATAACTTATCAAACAAGGTATGAGGAGGCACTACCAAGTTTGGAAACCATTGGAGTGTGTTATGTAAGGTTTCTTAGCAGATGGCTGCATTCCCAGGCATTGGTCTAGCATGCCACTAGTTTTCCTCATTACATCCGACACCAATACTGTCCTGTGTACTGTCCCGGCAGTCACATTGGTCTGCATTAATCCTGATTCTATACTCTGCATCCCGAGAGATAAGCAGCTGGAATATGAAAGGATCCATCTAATACTGAAATAACAGACCTGAAATGTCATAAGTGTTAACATGTGTTAGATTCCAGTTTGCCATTGCTTACCTCCAGTAGACATGCTGGTTAGTGTTCTGTGGATGTAAAGCTTATAAACAGTGTTGATTTGCCTTTCAGGTTAGTGTTAGATGTGAAAATAAAACACTATACAGGATTATTTCAAGAATGTCAATACGACCCTTTGGGTCTGTTTTCCAAGCTCCCTTGCAACAGTCGAGCACAGGTTGGCATACTTGTTTATTAGGAGTGTCTACTCTTCTTGCCCCCTTTTAGGGGGGATATGGAGCAGTTAAAGCACCCATTACGTACCCTTAGGTTGCTTATTCAGCATGGAACACCAAAGCTCCTGCTGTTTTCAAGGCATCAATCTTTCCTTAGCATCAAAAAGAGATTCCAACATGGATTCCCTCTTTGTGAGCTTCAGCCTCCTTTTTTTTTTCCCCTGTGTTATTCCTCTTCAGCGGGCTCAGGGGGTGTATCAGAAGTGGCTCCATTGGTTTCTACACCTTCTTCACTGTCAGAACTGACAGAACTTCTCAGGGGCCTTAGGAAACAGGACTTGTGGGGTGAATGAGGATAGAGGGCATCTTGCAAAGCTCCAAGAGGGCGAGAAAGAAGCTCTTCGTCTGAGGAAGGGAGAGAGTCTTCATCCTCCCGTCCTGAATGGGAGGAGAGGTGCAGTCCATCAAAGGCTCTCGGGTCAGAATAAGGTTTGTGACCTCGAAGAAGAAGGAGAATCTGTGGAGATTAGAAAGACATCTAAGACAACATATATATTTTTTACAACAGACTTAAACCTTGTTCAGACAGGCCTACTACAGCATACACCCATGTGAGGGCCATGTTTACCTGCACAGGGATGCACAGGTGTTACATACATCCCTGTGCAGACAGTCCCATACATGTCAATTGGGACACAGTGGCTGCATGGACACAAAAGCTGCTTTCATTTTGAAATCTGTGTGGGTGAACGACTCATACACATACTGTCTGAATTTGAGGCTGGATATCAAATTGGGAGTAGCAGCTGTGTCCGTGCAGCCACAGCAACCTAATTAACATGAATGGGACTGCCTGCACAGGGAGTCGCTATGCTGTAGTACACCCATGTGAACAAGGCCTTAAAATGCATCTGTCATGATGGACAATTTTCAACATCAAGAATACTCCCAAGTGAGTGCCAACATACACACACTCACCGGCCACTTTATTAGGTACACCTTGCTAGTATTGGGTTGGACCCCCTTTTGCCTTCTGAACTGCCCTAATTCTCCATGGCATAGATTCAACAAGGTGTTGGAAACATTTCTCAGAGATTTTGGTCCATATTGACATGATAGCATCATGCTGTTGCTGCAAATTTGTCAGCTGCACTCCATGAACCATTGATACAAGACAGGATGGATCCAGGCTTTCATGTTGTTTATGCCAAATTCTGACCCTACTATCTGAATGTTGCTGCTGAAATCGAAACTCATCAGACCAGGCAACAATTTTCAAATCTTCTATTGTCCAATTTTGGTGAGCTTGTGCAAATTGTTTCCTGTTCTTAGCTGACAGGAGTGGCACCTGATGTGGTCTTCTGCTGCTGTAGCCCATCTGCTTCAAGGTTCCATGCGTTGTGTATTCAGAGATGGTATTCTGCACATCTTGATTGTAACAAGTGGTTATTTGAGTTACTGTTGCCTTTCTATCTTCTGGAACCAGTCTGCCCATGCTCCTCTGACCTCTAACATCAACAAGGCATTTTCATCCACAACTGCAGCTCACTGGATATTTTTTCTTTTTCAGACCATTCTCTGTAAACCCTAGAGATGGTTGTGTGTGAAAATCCCAGTAGATCAGCAGTTTTTGAAATACTCAGACCAGCCCATCTGGCATCAACCATGCCACGTTCAAAGTCACTTAAATCCCCTTTCGGTTGTTGTTAGAAAATCAGCAAGTCGTCTTCACCACGAATAGATGCCTAAAAGCATTGAGTTGCTGCCATGTGATTGGCTGATTAGCAATTTGTGCTACCAAGCAATTGAACAGGTGTACCTAATAAAGTGGCTGGTGAGTGTATATACAACAGTATGTGGACACCCTCCAAATGATTGAGTTCAGATGTCTCCAGTCAAGGATACTGTTAATGCTACAGCATACAAGACAACTCTGGATAGCTGCGCAATTTCCATTGTGTGGCAATCATTTGGGAAGGTTCTTTTTCTATTCCAGCATTACTGTGCACAAAGTCAGGCACACTCCAAAGTCTCATGGAAAGCCCTCCCAGGAATAGCTGAGGCTGTTACAGCTGTCAAGGTGGGCCATCTGCATTGTAATACCCATGTTTTTTTTAATGAGATGTCCAACTTATATGGGTGTGATGGTTAGGGATCCAAGGACTTTTGGCTCAATAATGTATCTTTGTTAATATTCAAAGAGTATGTAAACCTTTGTACAGCTATAGCAAGCAGAATTTGCTCCTAGAAATGAATCAGTAAAGTAGATGTAAACTACAACTTTTAGATTGCTTAAACGCGGTGTATCATTGGCAATTACCTTTTGTTTAACACAGTACTTGGCTCTGAGGAAGAGGTACAACCTCAAAACGCGCCAAACATCCAGAGGTCTACAGTCCCCCACCAGATCATCTTCAGGGGTCTTGGACCACACTGCATCTCTTGTGACATACTTTCCATTTGAGTTTATTTCTCTTGTGAGTATTTTACTTTTTATCAATAAATCTCATTTTTAAAAGGTAATGCACTAGGCACGTGCGCCCTCTTTTTGTCTTTTCATATACAGTTCTCTTTGGATTTCCCTGGTCCGTTGAGGGCAGCAAGGCTTGCATTCCTTTCATACACATGTGGGGATATTGACATTGTGGAGTCCATTGTCCAGTGCAGGAGCTCAGGCATTCGGTTGCTTTTTGCTTCCAACCAGATCCCCTGCAACCTCTTTGCAGCAACTCTCTATCTATATGCACTGTGGTGATGATTCATAGCTTTTAGGGTGGTTTTCTGACAGTCCCAACAGTGGACCATGAATGCATGTTTGTTGAAACAGTCACACCATTAGGGCTCTTTTACAAATGCACAGAATACGAAAACAGACTTTAACACAAATTAATGCAACTATAGCAATAACGAGTGTTTTGGACACTTTGCACAATCATTCTGATCACATCCGGCAATGCTTCTAAAATGCCCTGTGAAATTATTTAAATGTATTTATTTTACAAGGTTAAATTGTGCAAAAATCACTTTTAATACTTTGCAACTGTGCCTTGAATGTGCAGTAAATGGCATAGTCGCGTTTATGGTGATACACCAATGTGTGCTGTAACTTCTTGTTGTATGCTGCATAAAAATGCAAACATGCTGCATTTTTAGGTAACACAATTGTCTGGTATGAACAGGGAAAATAGAAAACAATTGTTTTGTCAGTGTACTTGCATTGAGCTGACATGGTAAATGGTTAGCACTTCCGCCTGGCAGCACTAGGGTCGTTGGTTCGAATCCCAGCCACAGCACCACCTGCCTGGAGTTTGCATGTTCTCCCTGTGCCTGCGTGGGTTTCCTCCGGGTACTCCGGTTTCCTCCCACACGCCAAAGACATGCTGGTAGGTTAATTGGATCCTGCCTAAATTGGCCCTAGTATGTGTATGTATGAATGTAAGTTAGGGACCTTAGATTGTACGCCCCTTGAGGGTTAGGGACTGATGTGAATGTAAAATATATATGTAAAGCGCTGCATAAATTGACGACGCTATATAAGTACCTGAAAAAAATAAAATAAAAACACACTTGGTGTGAATGAGCCCTAAATATTTATGGGACAGCCAACCAACACAGGGTTAAGCCCTAGTTCACATTGATGCGGTGTGGAATTCACAGCATTTTCAGTGCACATCAGAATCGCACCCCGTTCATGTGAACCGCTGCGGGTGTGTATGTTAAGGTAACAACACCCCAAAATCAGTCCACAAAACGCGGGCGATGTGCAGAATCGGATCGCATTGATGTGAATACCCATGCAATCCGATTCTAGTGCGGACCAAAAAAAAAAAAAAGGGTCCTGCACCTTTCTAGTGCGGGTGCGGTGTGATTTGAGCCATACAAAATATGTGGCTCTGATCGACCGCACACAAACTGCACGTGATTTGCACAGGAATGCGGTGCGGTTCCTGTGGGAATCACATGCGATATACTGCACTGCACAAATGTGAACCCAGCCTCAATTGTGTCGGCACATCCAATCTTCCTATGTCTACAGCCAGTATAACCATGAAACCTGACAAGCTGGGAATGTCCAGTTCAGACGGGCTTATTGGGCTTTATATCCTGATACACACTGAATTCACAGAGATTAGAAGAGCTATTAACTGCTTAATGACTACCAAGTGGAAAGATTCTTTTCTTCTATGACAAAAGTGCATGATTTCAGAGAACTGCTTCCTCTTCTTCACAAGCACCGTCTGGCTGAAGGAATTTGCAACCAGGGGCAGACTGACAACTCATGGGGCCCCCGGGCAATAGGGGATCATGGGGCCCGTGTCCTTGCCCAAACTCAAAAAAAGCCTATGAAAAAAGTACCAGGGGCATCTCATGGGGCCCCCTACTGACCCCGGGCCCTCGGCAGTGCCCGAGTTTCCAAATGGTCAGTCCGCCCCTGTTTGCAACCAATACTCAAGATTTTTGTTACTTTACAGTGACAGTTACATATGATCTGCCACTCATATACAGTGAATATAGAAGGCCACACTTGAATCTTTCCCACACAAAAGAATATGCCACTGTGTATCTGCCAACTGCTTCAGTTCTATCCAGTTCCACTTCGGAGGTTTCTCGAGGTGCTTACCTCATGTCTCAGCTCATCAATTTGATCCTTCAGTTCCCGAATGTACTGTGAGGAGTCTGAGTCTTTTAGCTTTCCCTGGATCATCCCCTCTTCTTTCTGGAAGAGAACGTCAGGAGAATTTCAGAAATGAGACTATGGCAAGTGGGAGGAATGAGTGCGATAGAGCGAAAGGAATCTAAAGACAAAGACAGGAGATAAAAGATTTCAATGCTGCATCTGCAAGGCACAAATGAGGAAACTAGCAGGGTATGCATCCCTTTAGACCTGGATTTCCCCATAGGGAGTATTTTACCATTTTTGTTGCGACATTTTTGTTGCAGGGGATGCCATAATTCTGAATTGCATCTTAATGGAGACTTCTGGGAATATCCGTAAGCCAAATACACAAGCAGGAAATGACATTTTAAGGGGGCATTTTGTACAGAACACCTCCAGGTAACCACATTGCACTGAATTTTACAGAAAATTACAGAGCTGCAGATTGAAAAGGCAAAGTAATTGTTAAGAACATTCAATCACAATATTACTTGAGTCGCATTTGTAAAGGCTACATTATTTTTTTTTGTTTGCTAATTTTTTTTCCCCATGAAAGTGGAGTTACCCTTTAATGAAAGTCAATCATCTAGGTTAGAAAGCTTTGTACCTTCATTTGATGTACTGTACAGCACATGAAAGGGAGTCTTGAGCGAAAGCTGAACTCCAGGCAATTTTCAGTTACTCTTTCAGTGGGGCTCCTCCAAACTGCAAGCGTTAAAATGTTCTTTTTTTGTCTAGGGTACCATTTAAAAGCAGTTATACTTACTGTATCCCTCACTCCCCTGACAGCTGGCACTCTCCTCTTCTCTCCGATGCTGTGGGTTGTGGGTGGGCCCTCTGTGTCCTTACTAACAATGTTGGACTGATGGAAAAGAAATATAATCTCCAAACACGGAAAGGTTTCTTCACAGTAAGAGCTGTGAAAATGTGGAATAGACTCCCTCAAGAGTTAGTTCTGGCCAGCTCAGTGGATTGCTTTAAAAAGTCCTGGATTATTTCTTGTATACACAGAATATAACTGGATACTAACATTTATAGGTAAAGTTAATCCAGGGCATTACCGATTGCGTCTCGGGGGATCAGGAAGGAATTTTTTCCCCTGCAGGAGGGGGATCGTGCTTTGCTGGGTTTTTTGCCTTCCTCTGGATCAACTGTGGGTGTAGAATTATAACTTTTTTCTTGTTTTTAATGGTTGAACTGGATTGACGTTTGTCTTTTTTCAGCCAGACTAACTATGCAACATCAGCGTGCTTGATTTTCAGTGGTAGCCTAGGCAAAAAGTTTCATTTAGCCCTGTGGAGGATGCCCACTGCAGATGGACTAACTCCTTTTTCATATCATTGACCCCTATGTCTCACTGCCAAATTTGCTGGAGGAACTAATTGCTTACGGCCAGGTATCCAACTTCAAGATAAATTACGCAAAGTCCGAAATCCTACCGATTACCATACCTCTAAATCTTGCTTCCACTCTGAAGGGTGCTTTTTCATTCACTTGGACACACCCAACTCCCTAATGTATTTAGGTATCCACCTCACTGACCACGTGGATTACCTTTATGCCTCTAAGTATGCCCCCGTACTGGGTAAAATGTGCCACGACTTCCAGGCATGGGATAGGGCAACCTTTACATGGATAGGTCCATATTATTATAAAAATAACCATTTTGTTCCAAATACTTTCTTCCTGCAGATGGTATCTGTCTCCCTGCCTAAACGCTTTTTTCTTGAGCTTCGTCATCTCTTTACCTTATTTGTTTGGGGTGGCAAGAGACTACTGAAATGGTCTAAGCGGATGGGAAGCTTGGGCATACCCGACATACAGCTATATTCTAGGGCAGTTGCACTTCAGCGGATCCTCAACTGCAGGTATAATGTTTCCTCTAAGCTTTGGGTCTCCCTTGAAAAAACTATATCAGGTGTAACTTGTCCTACGCACCTTGGGTCCAATCAGGCGCCAGGGGTTTCTCGGATTGGGTCTTTCCATGGACTACCCATGTCCTTTCGGTCTGGGATAGGTTGAATAGCGCACTATCGTTAGCCCCCCTTGTTCACCATTGGCACCAGTACGGGGTTTCCCGTGGATTCCCCCAGGGAAACAGCTTTCCTATTTTGGACTGTGGATGAGGGATGGATAGTTTGTCACTTTTTATGGAGGAAGGTACCCTGGCCTCACTTAACTCTCTTAAGGAGAGTTTTGGTGGCTTCCCTTTCGATTTCTGGAAACAGGCAACTCCGCCATTTCTTTCCCACACAGATTCACTCAGATTAGGCCCACCTTTACAAGCTTCGAGTGCCTGTGGGCTGCCAGAGACCCCATGCCACATATGATCTCAGTCCTCTATAAACAATTTGCTTTGGCTATATCCGATCCTAATACAATATATATTTTAGTGAATGGGAACGAGACCTCCAGTGTGAGTTTTCTGATGAGCAACTGCAACACCTATTCCGGTTGATGCATGCCAGCTCTACTAACACTAAGAATCAGGAGAATAAATACGAACTGTTATCGAGATGGTACCGTGTACCCACTTCCCTTGCCCAGATCTACCCATCCGTTTATGACTGCTGCTGGAGAGGCTATGGACAGAGGGGTACAGTTGCAAGAAAAAGTATGTGAACCTCTTGGAATTACGTGGAGTTTTGCATGAAATGGGCATAAAATGTGCTCTGAACGTCATCTAAGTCACAACAATAGAAGAACACAGTCTGCTGAACATAATACTACACAAACATTAGATGTTGCCATGGTTTAATTGCACATAACATGTAAACATTCACAGTGCAGGGAGGAAAAAGTATGTGAGGCCCTAGTTTAATGACTTCTCCCAGAGCTAATTGGAGCCAGGAGTGAGCCAACCTTGACTCCAATCAGTGTGATGATATTGGATGTGTTGCTGACAGCTGTCCTGCCCTTAAAAAACACACACCTGTTTTTGGGTTTACTGGTTTCAAGAAGCACTGTCTGATGTGAACTATGCCTCGCAGAAAAGAGCTCTCAGAAGACCTACGATCAAGAATTGTTGACTTGCATGAAGCTGGAAAGGGTTACAAAAGTGTCTCCAAAAGCCCTGTGCCTTTCTTGATGGACTTTCCAGGACTGCATAGTGGAGATTTTGGACATAGATCTCCCCCTCTCTCCTAAACACTTTTTAATTCACACACCCACCATACCTTTTCCTTGCTACAAACACTGCGCTTTCCCTCACCTCCTCAATGCTGCAAAACACCTTGTTCCTGTCAACTGGAACTGTTCTCGTGTCCCCAGCCAGGAAGATTGGATTGGGAAGGTGACAGAGATAATGGAGGCTGAAGAGTGGATTGCCACATGTAGGGGTATTCAGGACCACTTTAATGCAATCTGGGCATCCTGGAGGCACTATGCCTCTGGATCACCTGCACACACACCCCTCCATCGCCTGCAACCTCCTCCAGCTCACATGTAGCTCTGCTGCCACTTGCAGATCCCACCTTCAAACAACTTGTCCAGGTGCATCAGCAATCCTGGTTTTCCCCCCCTGCTGCTGTACCCTTTACTGGGCGGTAGTTGGGGTTTCCTTTTATTTGTGCCTAATGACACCTATTTTTTTTTTTCTTTTTACTTCAGCCCCCCCCACCCAGATGTGGTTGACATGTTTATGTTTACATATTATAATGAGACCTCATATTGACTACCCTGGATGTTTTCATTTGTTTTGTTTCGTTTGTCTCAGGTTAGCTTATTACGCCTTATTCTGTGATAGAGACGTGTATCTTTTATGTTTCAAGGCAGCGGCACTGGAAGACTTGAGCTTGCCTCATTGGTTAGGACTGTGTATGCTGAATAACACATGTCTATTTAATTTTCTTTGTACTGTTTTTTACCCTAAATAAAGATTACATAAAAAAATTATCATCAATAAAACCAATAATAAATGAATACAGAAGCAATTATTTACAATTAACAGTAGAAATATAGTCCTACAGATACAACCAGCCCTTTGAGGGTAACCATACTGTTGATGCAGCTGCCGATAAATTTGAGTTTGACACCCGTGCTTTAGTAGTAATTAACCCTTTGGCAGTTTCTAACCAAAAATGAATTTTTTTTGCAGATTTTGCGAAAAATGTGACATGACTCTTACTGCAGACTTTTGGGAAAACCAGTGGTGTACAGAATGCCTCCAGGTTGCCTTAGTGTAGAGGTCCTCAAACTTTTTAAACAGGGGGCCAGTTCACTGTCCCTCAGACCGTTGGAGGGCCGGACTATAGTTTTAAAAAAAAAAAAAAAAACTATGGTCATCTCCTGTACTGTGTCCGCATTTGTTCAGAGACTGCGGACATACAACGGCGGTGGGAATACTGGGCCGGCCGCTCTATAAGACGCACAGACATTTCCCCCCAAGTGTGTCTTATGGAGCAAAATAGTGTCCCATCATTAGTGTCAGTGGGAGCAATAGTGCCCCATCATTGGTGTCAGTGGGAGGAATAGTGCCCCATCATTGGTGTCAGTGGGAGGAATAGTGCCCCATCATTGGTGTCAGTGGGAGGAATAGTGCCCCATCATTGGTGTCAGTGGGAGGAATAGTGCCCCATCATTGGTGTCAGTGGGAGGAATAGTGCCCCATCATTGGTGTCAGTGGGAGGAATAGTGCCCCATCATTGGTGTCAGTGGGAGGAATAGTGCCCCATCATTGGTGTCAGTGGGAGGAATAGTGCCCCATCATTGGTGTCAGTGGGAGGAATAGTGCCCCATCATTGGTGTCAGTGGGAGGAATAGTGCTCCATCATTGGTGTCAGTGGGAGGAATAGTGCCTCATCATTGGTGTCAGTGGGAGGAATAGTGTCCCATCATTGGTGTCAGTGGGAAGAATCGTGCCCCATCACTGGTGTCAGTGGGAGGAATAGTGCCTCATCATTGGTATCAGTGGGAGGAATCATGCCCCATCATTGGTAGGAATCATGCCCCATCATTGGTGTCAGTGTGAGGAATAGTGTCCCATCATTGGTGTCAGTGGGAGGAATAGTACATCATTGGTGCCAGTGGGGAGGGGTGGAATAGTGCCCCATCATTGGTGTCAGTGGGAGGAATAATGCCCCATCATTATTATTTTGACACCAATGATGGGGCACGATTCCTCCCACTGACAGCAATGACACTTAACTAGCCGACCCCTGTTCCAGCATGGTGCTGCTGCAGCCAGCATACCTGGTTGCAGCAGTACCATCTGCACGGCACACTTACCGGGCGGTCAGCTGTCCTCCTTCCTTCACTTCGGCCTCTCCCTCCCTTGATTTTCGTGGGGCCGCTCAGCTCTACTTCCTCACCGGTGATCGGCCGCCTGTGTGCCTTTCCTGAGCTACAGTACTGGCGCCCAATCACCGGTGAGGAGGCGGAGCCGAGCGGCAGCGCGGACATCGAGTGAGGGAGCGGCCGGATTGAAGGAGCTGTGCATCCTGGACTGGATCGTCGTAGGACTGGGACCAGAGCCAGGTAAGAGACAGCAGCCCCCTGCCCGCCCCTGTACTTAGTGTGCCCTTCCGGCGGGCCGGGATGAATGTGCTTGGCGGGCCGCATGTGGCTCGCAGGCCGTAGTTTGAGGACCCCTGCCTTAGTGCATTGAATTTTACAATAAATTACAGTGATGCAATTTGAAAAGGAAGGGTAATTTTGAATAACATTCAATTACAAAATGGCTTGTTTTGCAATTGTATAGGCTATATTTTTTTCCCACAAAAGTACCCTTTAAAGTATGACCATTCTGCATTTACAGAGAAAGACCAAAGATAGGGAGGTGGTTGAAAGCAAAGCTGAAGCAGCACTGTTCTGTCAGGTTGATTTGCATGTGGTACTCCCTGCTTCCTTTTTCAGGTGTTATAAAAGGAAACACCACTACCACTGAAGAGAATCACAAACAAATATGGTATCTTTTTGGTAAGGAGCTTTGAATGAACAATCAATCAACGGTTGAACCTTTTGTGGCTGACAGATGTGTATCCTAGGTCTATGATCTGTTGGAAATGGGGGAAAACTGTCAGAGGTCTAGAGACAACTAATTTATCATACAAATGTCTCACCTGAATCTCCAGTTCAGCTATCCGCTGACGCATCTCAGCCACAGCAGCCATGCTGTCTGCTTCTCTCAGCCGTACTGCCATCACCTCTTCTTTATTCTAATAGGAAACACAACGAGTAATTCAAAATAATCTGTATTTCCACCTGTCTAGTTTAACTTGCAAAGTCTAGTTTCCTGACAAACTAGATTTTGCAAGACTGAGCTGAGCAAATAAAGAGACTGCCTTAACAGAAAGGAAAAAAAAGAAACAGCTGCCAGTATGAAATTCTGGTACACCCTTCCCTCGCAATCCTATTGGCCCATTACTGTGATGGGCAGCCTCGCTGCTTAATAGGAATGCACAGAAAGCAGTAAGGGGTAGGCAACCTTATTGGGTGCTGACACTTTGACTACCAAGATAGCTGGGCTTTAGCTGTGACAGATTTGGAAGGTTGTTGCAATTTATACCCACAGAAGTGTTTATTTTTATTTCATATTCTCTTTGAAGCGAGCTCCAGTTAAAGCTACAAAAAATAAAAGTCAGCAGCTACAAAAACTGTATCTGCTGAATTAAACAGCCACTCACCTTTCCCGCTATCCAGCAGTGTACTCACCGCAGCCAGTTTAACCGGCCATCCTCTCTACCCGGTGCCGGCATCTTAAGTGTGGGCACCCGGCTGACAGCTTTCAGCTTCACAGCTGGGTGCCCACTGCGCATTACTGAGTCTTCTGGGACCTGTCATGTGTCCCAGAAGAGTGCGGGAGGGAACAATATGCACTTCTGATCGCCTAGGCGATCACAGTGGAAATGGGAGTGGGTACCTGTCAAAACCGGGAACCCGCTGCTCCCCACTCCAGCGGGGGGATTAGTACTTGAAATGGAATGTCTACTACTACTACTACTATTACTAATATAGCGCCGTCATTTTACGCAGCACTTTACATATATATTGTACATTCACATCAGTCCCTAACCCTCAAGGGGCGTACAATCTAAGGTCCCTAACTTACATTCATACATACTAGGGCCAATTTAGACAGGATCCAATAAACCTACCAGCATGTCTTTGGAGTGTGGGAGGAAACCCACACAGGCACAGGGAGCACATGCAAACTTCAGGCATGTGTGCCATGGTTGGGATTCAAACCAACGACCCTTGCACTGCCAGGCAAAAGTGCTAACCATTTAGCCACTGTGCTGCCCAATCAGTATTGCACAGAAGAGCAGAGTTCCCTTTATATTGGGTCTCACCTTACACTCTGTCACTGCATGTTTCCTCTTATCTTCGTTCATTTGGGTTTGCAGGGCCTTGTGCTGTGCTGCCTCACTTTGCAACTTCTCTCTGAGCTCCTTACACTCCTTCTCCAGCCGGGATAGCTGTTTCTCATGCATCACCTCCTGAAAAGGACACAGACCATCAGCCAATAGAATCGCTCCATCAGACCCAAACTGATTCACACTAGTTACATCAGTGGGAAGGATTTTATCCATACAGAGTTCAGACAGAATAAACACTATAAAACAGGTCATTTATCCTTCACCCTGGAAGTTTCACTTCAGTTCCGAGGCTTACTGCTTTTGTTGGAGAGACGATGCTAAAGAGGTACCAATTGAAGCACCTCTGGTAACAACCAGTGCATAGTAGCATGACTTAAATTTTAGTTAAAAGGAGAATTCCAGGCATGGTATATTTTTACATAGTTATATTGGTCCAGAATGGACCAGTATCATTATGCAGATACCATACCTAGCCAATGCCCCTGAAGTTGGATATCAGTGAAGTAGATTCTGCTAATCTAGTGATCTCCACTAGCTTTTAGGTCCCGTTCGGAGCAGCCGGGCTGCTGCATTCTGAACACAGGAGGTTGGCTGCTCAGCAAGGGCACCATTCTGAGTATTTTTTGCAATTTCTGAATGAATACAAAGCGTCCTTTGATTGAACAAGGTAAAGAGGTGGGGGTGGTCGACATTACATCTCCACCATGTCCAACCAGAGAATGCTTTGCATTAATTCAGAAAAATGAAAGAATTTTCTGAATGGCGCTTGTGGCTGATTATCCAACCTCCTGTATTCACAATTCAGGCTGGCCACTCTGCATGGAGCCCAAAAGCAAGTGGAGATCACAGGAGTAGCAGTGCCTACTTGGCCAGGTATGATATATATATATTTTTACACTGATCCAAGCTGGACCAATGTACTATGTAAAATATATCATGCCTGGAACTCCCCTAACATTTCAATCTAGCTAGAAAGTTGGACCTTTAGGCTGCACAAAAGCTTATAGTAGAATTCTGAACAAATGGTCATATGAACATTCATAAGAACATCTTATGACAATTCTCAGGACATTCGATGACTTGACGAATGTCCTTTGAAAGTATTTCAAGATTTTGTTTGCTTTTAACATTTGACTTTGGAATGAATGGACGTTCCCAAACAAAAGCCACACTTTTTAGAAATGTGTTTGTTAGAAAAACATTTTTCATCCTGATCCTTCAAATTTTCTCATCACTGCGGATGAAAATGAACATTGATTTTACCCCCATTAATGATTAGAAAATCGAATAAACATTTTAAAAGGAAAAATTTCAGATTACATTTTACTGGTGTATGGCCTGCTTTATTAAAGAAATGGTTAATCTCCATGCACAATCTATTACCAGGTTTATATCTCTTTTTCGCATAGATGGGTGGTCTGTGGCTATGCAATATAGTTGATTTCATAAAGCAAACAACCAGAATATTTTGTGCCTGCCCTGCTTTAAGATCAATGGAATTGTCAACTTTTAAAAAATAAAGGGCCTATAAGAAACCATCTGTTTAAATTGAACCTTCTATGGGCCCCTTTCTATCCAGGCATAGTTTTAGTGCACCAGTCCCTTTGACTTCCTTTTGCTTGAGATCTAGGAACCCATTTTATGTCCCAGCATTACTGTGCCTTTGCACCCAAAGCCAGATCTATCCAAAAAAAAAACAAAACATGTTTTGATGAGTTTGGTGTGGAAAAATTCAAGTGTCCTGCAGACAGTCCTGACCTCAACCCTAATGAACACCTTTGAGGTGAATTGAAATTCTGATGAGCCAGGCTTTCTCAACCAACAAGTACCTGATCTGACAAATGTTTGCTTGTTTCTTTTTGCTAAATAACCAATTATTACAGACACACTACAAAAACCTGTGGAAACCCTCCCCCGGCTATTGGAGGTCTATAATAATTGCAACTTAGGATGGGGGGAGGAGTAACTCTATATTAATACCCACTGCTTTGGAATGGGTTGTCCAACAAGCTAATATAAGTGTGATCTGCAGAAGTTCACAGACTTAGAAACTTCTGCCCATATAGTGTATGTTATGTGTAAGTAACCTCTTTTATCTTTTCACTTATTCACTGGTATCCAAGTTGTATATCTGTTTTAAATCTGCACGCTTATGATCCTCCATTGACTGCACATTTAATCCATAAACAAAGTTCATGTATTGTAATCTGGATCTAATGCTTTTACTTAGCACTGGCTTATGACAAAATCAATCCTATTTGACCTATCCATGTAATTCTATCTGAACCCTGCATGAATGAAATATACTACACAGAATTCAATACAGGAGACGACCACTGACGGGAAGTGCGAGGTCACCTGACTTTCCAGAATGAGTACCCTCTGGCGAAGTTCACGGGTTTCGCTCTGAGCATGGACTTCTCGTAACCGAGAAGACATGACTTCATCCTGCAGGTCCCCAGTGGCACTCTTACGAGGCGAGTCTTTCCAAATGCCACCTCCCCGTGAAGACAGGGCCTACATAAAGAAAGTGAACAGATTAAATATATGAAGAACGTTTCTGCATTCCTTGCAGCTAAGGAGTTGTTTGAAATGTGTATTGATTTTTGTTTCCTTTATCCAGCAGAGAGCATTTTTCTTTTTGTTTTGTGAATGGATATCTCGATATGCAGCCAACACAGAAAGCCAACTAAAAAAACAAAGAAATTGTGCTACAAAAACATACACATGTTTTAAGAAAAACTTTACAGGCAAGTCAGAAAAAATGTGTGGATTGGTGAAGAACAATTTTATTAAACCAAATCTGTAAAAAAAAAAAAAAAAAAATAATCATAAAAACCAAATCTGTCACCAAAATGATTTTCATAAATTAAAGACACAGAGAGAGGAGACAACACCAGGTGTATACTGCTGACATCTTAAGAGGAGAAGTATAGCCAAAGCTATTTTGGCTATACTTCTCCTATGGATCACGGGACTGGTAAAACCCGCTGTCAGCTGAGGTCACTCAGCCAGTCCAGGCTCTGAAAAGATCCCAGCCATATAGTCAGGATCTACTCAGATGCTGGGACTGGCAGCTGACAGCCTTTCAGAAAACCGCTGAAAGCCTGAGCCAGCCGCTCCCACCCCCTCCAAAACCGAGCTCTCCAGTGAGCGCTGGAAGGGCAGAGCAGAGAGCTGGTGACACTCTCTGCTCACTGAACGCAGAGAACTGAGCAATCAGCGGTCTTGGATCACTCAGTTCTCAGTCTTAGAGCCAGTGGGGGACAGATGCTGCATACCTTTGTAAATTTAAACTCTAAATGAATGGTAGTCAAGGGACTATTTGTAAAGCAGTGGTGTAGCCTTACCACGGTCATACAGCTGCTTTAAAAAAATAAACAATAAAACATCACGAATTTAAAAAGCACAGCCATGAACTTTCTACAGCCAGAAACTCTGAAGGCCAGTGGAGTGCAATTAAAATTAATGGACAGTATACAAAAAAGAAAACAGCTAGTCAAAGTCACATGACTGGCTCTTTTCCAATCATGGAGCTCTCTCTGCTGCTTTAAAGTAAAGAGAAGTCTGTGGGGCACTGCAGGCTCCATTCACCAGCTGGTATTTTATGAATGAGCAGTAATGTGAAGATCCTGGTGTCTGTAAGCCAGCAATGAATAAAGCAAAGCAGACAGTGATATCCTCTCTCCATTACAAATGACTCCCAAATTATATCTATTTAGCTGGATGGCAGTGGAAGGTTCTGTGCACTGCCATATGTGGGAACGGAGAACTTACCTGCCACCGATCTGTCAGTTCAGTCACTTGTTGCTGTCCTTCACGCATAACCTGTAGAGTCTGGGCCTCTCTTCTCCGTAGAACCTGGACCTCTTCCTGTAGTAGCGCAACATTGTTCTCATCTGGAAGAGCGCTGTTACGCTGCAGAAAAGTAAAAACTTTTCTATCAATATTAAAAGGTCAGGCAGAAATGAAATTAAACACACTTGCACTAATCAGATGGGGAGATTTCCCTTCACTTTCTGTCCTAGTGACAATGATCATCAGGACAAAGAGCATAAATCTTCCCAAAGGGGACAAAGGTAGCAATAAAACCTTACAGAGGTTCTAATCTCCACCCCACCAAGCAATAGTGCTGGAACTGCTGGCTGCCAGTGACCAGCACTTAAAGCAAAAAAAGGAGCAGCTCCTGGCATTCCAATATATTCTCCAGATCGCTCCATAAGAGCATGCTGTAAAGACAAACGAAAAATATTAGGCGTCTACTTTGTCACTTGTCAAGTAACGTGTTGGCACTTCCTGTCAATATGGTGCAGTTGCAGCTCTGCCCAGCCTCTCCCTTTAGCAGCAGCTTACTACTACAGTAATCTATTGGTGGCTGATTAGAATTGATGTACTATTGCACAGCTGCAAGGGGTGGGGATCTCAATCTGGTCTGAACTCACCAGATCCAGACCCCAAGAAAAAAAAAAAAAAAAAAAAAAGTAAAAAATTGAAAAATTTAAAAATAAATATACCACATACACACTGTACATGCACACACAAAGGAAATGCTCAATTTTTAGCACAACTGGTTCTCCTGGCTCCTGATCATCACTGTGTGATTCTTAGCTGTTGCTGTGGTGCTTCAAGCACACAACAGAGGCACATATATGTGGCAGCGTGGAATAAGGTCTTCCTCTGCAGTACCATGTATAGGCGTTCAGCTGGTAGGAAGAACTGAACAAGCTATAAATTAGTTTTAAAATAGGCCCTCACTGACCTCCATAGCTGCAAACTCTGTGGAGCAATTCACCCTCAAAGTTCTCAGTGGAAGCACTATGGCCATACATGTTCTCTCAGCAAGCCCAGCTCACCCTGTTCCCCACTTGCAGCAGTGATTTTGCAGCTCAGCCAATGTTGGGTAGCCATCCCATCAATCAGCCAATTTCAAGTCTTCTAACCTCCAATGTGGACACAAAGCAGGTGAACTGAGAATGGGGATCAGTGTGAGCTGAGCTGCTGACATGCAAAAAACTTCTGTTCCTAATGCTTGACTATAAATTAGTCCACAAAGTCTACAGCTACATAGGAGAGTGAGGACTCATTTTACAGCTCATTTATTTCATTAAGTATATGCAAATCTTTCAAGCTCCATAGCCTGGCCACAGGTTACTTTAAGAAATCAGAATGCTGTACTTTAAAGTTTACATTCTAAATAATCCTCCTGATTTATCACTTTTTTTTAGAACAAAAGCAATTAAAGAAGTTACTTTGCTCTACTACAGCACTTCCTGACAACAGAGGGGCATGCAGAGCATCTGCAAATAAGCTGCCAATGCTACAGGTGTCTTTTGTGCCCAGCAGATGAGTTGGCCATGTGAATGATATTATATAAGTAAACTTCATTTTAAAGTTTTAAATCTCAATTAGATTTTCAGTGTAAATTGGCTAGATAAATTCCAGGTGCATCACAACAAAAGATGTACCAAGTCTTACACCTCTTTCACATGGGGTGGATTCTGTTCTGATTAGCTCACAGATCCCCAGCTGATCGGAACAGAGTGGGCAGATGAAACAGTGCAGTCAGGAGTAAACAGATTCCGCTGTATCTACGGATCCCCTTCCGTTTTTTTAGTGGATCAGATCGGAACCGGAAGTAGGCGGGTGTAAACCAGAAACAAGTCCGTTTACACCCACCTGCACATTAAGAAGGATGAACCTTCCAATCAGGTCTGCCTAAAACACTGACAGGTGGATCTGATCAGAAGTGCAGTTTGAAAGGGACCTTACATATCATTTTATTTAGAAAGTAGAAACTCCTGTGCCCTGCTGGCATGCTGTAGAGAAGGACCCTTCCTCTCTGTGTGAAAGAGAAGGGATCTCTGCCGAGGTCTGACACCAACTACCGTATTTTCCGGCGTATAAGACGACTTTTCAACCCCTGAAAATCTTCTGAAAAGTCGGGGGTCGTCTTATACGCCGGTGCGAGCCGTGTCAGGGCAGCACTTTTTCGAGGGGCAGCGCGGCGCCGCCCCCCCCTCTTCCTCCAACGGACACAAAGTACAGGGGTGGGCAGAGGGGCTGCTGTACCTTACCTGGCTCCAGTCCCACGACGATCCAGTCCAGGAAGCGCGGCTGCTCCTTCTTTCAGTTCTGCCGCTCGATGGTCACGCGGCCTCTCGGCTCCGCCTCCTCACGGGTGATTGGGCGCCAGCACTGGAAAGGCACACAGGCGACCAATCACCGGCGAGGAGGCGGAGCCGAGCGGCCCCGCGAAAATCGAGCGGGCCGAACTGGAAGAAGGAGCAGCCGCTCCTCTCTCCCACTGACACTAACGATGGGGCACTATTCCTCCTCCCCCACTGACACCAACGATGAGGCACTGTTCCTCCTCCACTGGCACCAACGATGAGGCACTGTTCCTCCCCCACTGACACCAACGATGAGGCACTGTTCTCCCCACTGATACCAATGATGGGGCACTATTCTCCCCACTGACACCAATGATGGGGCACTATTCCTCCTCCCCACTGACACCAATGATGGGGCACTATTCTCCCCACTGATACCAATGATGGGGCACTATTCCTCCCACTGATACCAACGATGGGGCACTATTCCTTCCACTGACACCAACGATGGGGCACTATTCTCCCCACTGACACCAATGATGGGGCGCAATTCCTCCCACTGACACCAATGATGGGGCGCAATTCCTCCCACTGACACCAATGATGGGGCGCAATTCCTGCCACTGATACCAATGATGGGGCGGTATTCCACTGACACCAATGATGGGGCGCAATTCCTCCCACTGACACCAATGATGGGGTGCTATTCCTCCCACTGACACCAATGATGGGGTGGTATTCCTCCCACTGACACCAATGATGGGGTGCTATTCCTCCCACTGACTAATGATGGGGCACTATTCCTCCCACTGACTAATGATGGGGCACTATTCCTCCCACTGACTAATGATGGGGCACTATTCCTCCCACTGACTAATGATGGGGCACTATTCCTCACACACTGACACTAATGATGGGGCACCATCATTGGTGTCAGTGGGAGGAATAGTGCCCCATCATTGGTGTCAGTGGATGAAATAGTGCCTCATCATTGGTGTCAGTGGGAGGAATAGCACCCCATCATTGGAATACCATACTGAAATAGCATACCATATTGAAATCAAATCTGATGTTTTTTCATTTTTATTTGGTGTGCGTTGGAAGAGGGGTAGTCTTATACGGCGAGTATAGCTCAAACCTTATATTTTAACAGGAAAAGTAGGGGGTCGTCTTATACGCCGGAAAATACGGTAGTTCTAAAAGTTTACAATAGAGGCAGTGTGGAATTTCTGTTTCTCTCTACTATGTACTGGTTGTGACGGTGTTTCACCTTTTCCAGCTCTACCACTTTCTCTTGCATTTCTTTCATTCCTTCCAAAGTCTCTGCTTCTCTTAGCCGTGACTGCTCCAGCTCTGACTCCAAATGGGACACTAACTCCGAAGTCACCCTTGGATCATTCTGTAGCGTGTACACAAACATATTTTAACATGATTAAACTACAGCAGAAATATTGCATAGACAAAACATAGTCACTAAAATACTTTATGTTGTAGTTATACAGGTTATGATGTACAGTGTTCACACTATGTGTATGTTGTAGTTATACAGGTTATGATGTACAGGGTGCACTATGTGTATGTTGTAGTTATATAGGTTATGATGTACAGTGTTCACTATGTGTATGTTGTAGTTATATAGGTTATGATGTACAGTGTTCACTATGTGTATGTTGTAGTTATATAGGTTATGATGTACAGTGTTCACTATGTGTATGTTGTAGTTATATAGGTTATGATGTACAGTGTGCACTATGTGTATGTTGTAGTTATATAGGTTATGATGTACAGTGTGCACTATGTGTATGTTGTAGTTATATAGGTTATGATGTACAGTGTTCACTATGTGTATGTTGTAGTTATATAGGTTATGATGTACAGTGTTCACTATGTGTATGTTGTAGTTATATAGGTTATGATGTACAGTGTGCACTATGTGTATGTTGTAGTTATACAGGTTATGATGTACAGGGTTCACTATGTGTATGTTGTAGTTATATAGGTTATGATGTACAGGGTGTACTTTGTGAATTTTGAAATTGTACAGGCAGAGGAGTAGCTTGAAGCTTGTGGGCCCCGATGCAAAAGTTGACCTGGTACCCCCCCACTACCTTCCACCATATGCCAAGATGCTCCCACCACGCGCCAAGATATGATAGCCGTATCTCTCTTCTCTCTCCCCTGCTCCCGTGGCTGTCTCTCTCTTCTCTCTCTCCTACTACCTGCCCCTACAAGGGGGGGGGCAAGCAGCCACACTCTGAACTGTCGGGTGAAAGTGGTAGGTTTGTATGTAACAGAGGGAACTCAGCAGGCCCTCTGACTTCCAGATCCACATACAAGCCCATCGCTTTCACCCAGCAGCTCATAGTGTGGCCTGCCTTCCCCCATCTTGTGTGCACGTGCAGGGCTAAGCAGGGGCAGGAGGGGGGCTCATCATAGAGTGTGCCACTGCAGATATCACACTAAAAAAAACCCCCACCTTTCATTTATATGTTATTAAACAGCATCCAGTTACCTCTCTCATGGCTTCAGTGATATGGAAGTGCAGGATATTAGGGAAAGTAACACCCCACTTCCTGTTAATGACTCATGTCCCCCCACCAGGTAATGACAGATAACCCCCCACCTTCAGATGCCCTCCTCCTAGTAATGACACATGCCCCCCCCAGGCTGACAATGACAGATTCCCCATCCAGCTCTCCCTTTGCTCATCCTGCTCAAACTGTCAAAGTAATATCTGCAGCCTGCAGTCCCTTGGGGGACCCTAAGGAGGTGTTATGGAATTTTGTGAGAATTTTTGTGTGTCAGCAGGAGTTGTGGGGAGGGGTGGGGTGGAGTGTTGCGGTGTGTGTCTGTTCTCCAGCTCAGGACTTGAAAATGGAGCCAAAAGCTCAGAGATTCCGATTTGCTCAGGATTCCGCTTTGCCCGTCATAGTGACAGGGAGACAGCACGGACTCCCCTGGAGCATGAGTGGGGTCACAAGTGTGACCCCTGATGCTACATCCATATATACAGGTTATGATGTACAGGGTGCACTATGTGTATGTTGTAGTTATACAGGTTATGATGTACAGGGTGCACTATGTATAGGTTGTAGTTATACAGGTTATGATGTACAGGGTGCACTATGTATAGGTTGTAGTTATACAGGATATGATGTACAGTGTTCACTATGTGTATGTTGTAGTTATACAAGTTATGATGTACAGGGTGCACTATGTATAGGTTGTAGTTAACAGGATATGATGTACAGGGTGCACTATGTATAGGTTGTAGTTATACAGGATATGATGTACAGTGTTCACTATGTGTATGTTGTAGTTATACAAGTTATGATGTACAGGGTGCACTATGTGTAGGTTGTAGTTATACAAGTTATGATGTACAGGGTGCACTATGTGTATGTTGTAGTTATACAGGTTATGATGCACAGGGTGCACTATGTGTATGTTGTAGTTATACAGGTTATGATGTACAGGGTGCACTATGTGTAGGTTGTAGTTATACAGGTTATGATGTACAGGGTGCACTATGTATAGGTTGTAGTTATACAGGTTATGATGTACAGTGTGCGCTATGTGTATGTTGTAGTTATACAGGTTATGATGTACAGTGTTCACTATGTGTATGCTGTAGTTACACAGGTTATGATGCACAGTGTGCACTATGTGTAGGTTGTAGTTATACAGGTTATGATGTACAGGGTGCACTATGTGTAGGTTGTAGTTATACAGGTTATGATGTACAGGGTGCACTATGTATAGGTTGTAGTTATACAGGTTATGATGTACAGGGTGCGCTATGTGTATGTTGTAGTTATACAGGTTATGATGTACAGTGTTCACTATGTGTATGTTGTAGTTATACAGGTTATGATGTACAGTGTGCACTATGTGTAGGTTATAGTTATACAGGTTAGAAAGTAAACGGTGCACTATGTGTAGGTTGTAGTTATACATGTTATGATGTACAGGGTGCACTATGTGTATGTTGTAGTTATACAGGTTATGATGTACAGGGTGCACTATGTGTATGTTGTAGTTATACAGGTTATGATGTACAGGGTGCACTATGTATAGGTTGTAGTTATACAGGTTATGATGTACAGGGTGCGCTATGTACATCATAACCTGTATAACTACAACATACACATAGCGCACCCTGTACATCATAACCTGTATAACTACAACCTATACATAGTGCACCCTGTACATCATAACCTGTGTATAGGTTGTAGTTATACAAGTTATGATGTACAGGGTGCACTATGTGTAGGTTGTAGTTATACAGGTTATGATGTACAGGGTGCACTTTGTGTAGGTTGTATTTATACAAGTTAGAATGTACAGGGTGCACTATGTGTAGGTTGTAGTTATACAGGTTATGATGTACAGGGTGCACTATGTGTAGGTTGTAGTTATACAGGTTATGATGTACAGGGTGCACTATGTGTAGGTTGTATTTATACAAGTTAGAATGTACAGTGTGCACTATGTGTAGGTTGTAGTTATACAGATTATGATGTACAGGGTGCGCTATGTGAAGGCTATATTTATACAGTTTAGGATGTACGTGGAGGATGCTGTACCTACACAGTATAGGCTATGATGTTGAGGGTGTACTATGTGTAGGCTGTAGTTATACAGCTCATAATGTACAGGCGGTACTTTGTGCAGGTTATACTGAGTGTACGTTGTAGTTCTATAAATAAATGATACAAAAGATAAAAAGTGTCTGTACACAAAAGCTAGAGTGGAAATCCTTGTATTGTTAAGTCTAAAATAGGAAGCACAGTGCACAATAAATGTATTTTTTCACAGTTTTGTAGCTTTTATATGACAATATAAGGTTGTGTTATATGTCACTTTTACACACAAAAAATGGTTTTTTATATAAAAGTTCACCAACTTACATGGGAGTCTAGTATCAAAGTCTTGCCTCTGGTGGGTATCTCACCTGTTTATCTTGTAGTTGGCGGATTTGGTTCTGGGCACTCTGTAGATTTTCAGTTGCTGTGTAATATTGCTGCTTTACTACAGCCAGTTCGCGCTTTATGGCGTAGTTTTCCTCTGCTTCCTGCGCCCGTGTCACCTGACCCTGGTGGAGGTAGCCAGTAAAACCAAGCCAGTTTTAGCTTCTAGTCCTGGTACATTGGGATTTTGCCTAGCCTTATTTAGCAATAATTTTTCCCAAGTTTTTCATTTTTTTGCATATCACCAACTACCCATTTTAGCAAAAGAGGCCCTACCAATGATCTGCTCATGGAACTTTGGTGTCAGTCTGATATTCAATGCAAGAAATGCTTCATTTGAATGCATTGTAGAAATATTTTCTGCATGCATGTACTCTATGAAACCAATGTGTTCAAGGCTTCAGGATGGTGGTAAATGGGACTTTTTACTGGTCACTACTGGCCCACTCATTTTCCTAGCATAATTCCTGGAATACATTTGCCTACTATCTAAATCTGGTCTAGCAATATCCAGATCTGCTATAGTCATAAACTCGGTTGTAAAGGTGAGATAAACTTCTGATCTAACCAATGTTTGCCGAGGGGGAATAAAATGTGATCTCTGTGGCATATTCTGAAAGCCTCATCAAAGATAGATTCATTTTTACCAACTCCATATAAGCTGGCACTGAATCAGTCTTCCCCGTGCCTCACTACTCTTTGCTGATATACGCTTGTATGCTTGGCTAAGATCAGAGCACAATTTATGGAACAGGTTGGTGCCCATCTTGTCTAAGGGCAAATGAACTATACCTTCTGGTCCAATTACCCTTTAGATTTATGGTCACTCCTCACACTGCTCATGTTCAGGAGACATCTGTTTGGCCCCCGGTACCCGAGCTGTTATGGGGACCACTGTTCCCTAACCCATTAGGTTAGGGCTTAAAATTTCAAGTCCTGAGCTACTAGCCAGGCCTTAGAGTTACTCGCCACCAACAAACACACACAAAAAGAGAGTCACCTGTACACAAACGCAGACATGTACATACACACACAGAAATATGTACACACACATGCACAGAGACACATGTACACACACACACATACAGACACATGTATACACACACAGGCACGTACAGACACACAGATACATGTACATACACAGAAATACACACACACACACACACAGACACATGTACATACACACAGACACATGCACACACAGACACATGTACGTACATACACACATACCCATAAAAAGTTGCAGTACTTCGCTGTTCACTCACAGATCCGGGTACTGCATTCTAGGGGGAGGCAGAGAGCACAGCACACACTCCTTTCTTTGCTTTCACTGCGCTCAGCTATTGAGCAGTCTGACAGCTCCCAGTGCCAATGACAGATCCGGCCTGAGCTCCGAGCCTGCTCAGCAAGACGGCCATAGGGGGACACACTCGCCCCCACCATAATTTCCACTCGCCATTGGCGAGCAGGCGAGTGGAAATTTAAAGCCCTTCATTAGGTCCATGTTAAACAAAATATGTAAATATTGGTAATATGGCCTAGGTATTCAGGTGCACCAACATTCACCATGTCTAGATTTTTTCTCTTTCTTATATCCTCCTAAAATTGGACGAATCATTGCCCTAAGGAAGAATTACCACCCAGCTGCTCCCATTTTCTGCTGTTATGACAGGAAAAAATACACCAGGGAAAGAAGGAACTTATAGGGGGATGATCCTAAAGCCCCAAAAGGCAAGAAGATAGAAAACTGTACCTGGATGAGCCTGTCCGCTAATGCAGCACTCTCCTATGAGACAGTCCACAAGGACGAGGAGACGGGAAGGAAAGAGGTAAAGCAAGAAAGAGCCAGAGACAAAGAAAGAGCAGAAGGGAGAGAGAGAGAGAGAAAGAAATAGGTAACCACCACCGCACTACAAGAAGCAGGACTGAATTAGACAGGTCTCTCTAAAAAGAATGCCACATTAAATTACTGCAATATCAACCTAAGAGGATTTAAAAATGGCTGCTATAATTGGGGTCTTCTACCGTATTCTAAACTAAGGCCCCAATGTCAGACAAGTTGGAGTTTCCTGCACTCCCCTCATAAGCAAAAAAGGGGCCTCACTTTGTGGTTTACATTTGTCTGGCTGATGGAAGCTACCATATAAAGGTCCTCGAAGGGAGCATTTATACTCAAATGGATGAACTGCAATATTTGTTTATGTTGATTCAGACTAAATCTGAAATTGTGTTATGGTCTGAATCAAAATCATGAACATATGTGGGAAAGTAGGCAACCAGAATATTGTTATCTAATTCATGCCCTTTTAATTTAAAGTGGGCAGCCGGTTTTAAAAAGAACTTCCAAGACAGCACTGATATTTAGGAAAAAAAGCTACTGCAAAGTAGTTAAGCAGCCATCTTTAAATGTAATGTGTGGAGGAAAAAGGGGGATAGGAGCAAGATGGCAGTGCCAAAGACTATGTGATGAGCAAAAAGGGTACAGCTAAAATATAAAAAACAGCACAAATCCTACCTTTTCTAGAGTTTCAATACGTTGCTTCAGAAGTCTATTCTCTGTTCTTAATCTCTGCATATAGTAGTAACAGACAGGACAGATGTCATGTGAAAAAAACTTCAAAGTTAAAGGCAAGAGCACAAAGATCAATTGTTTGCTGTGTAATCTGAAAAAATAAACATTGTCCTATTTAGCCAAGCTAGGGCTTGTTCACATGTGCTTTGGTCTCTGAAGAGCGATCTGTGTTCAGATCGCTGTTCAGAGGGCATTTGACAGGCGTGAGGAGGCGTGGTATTTCCACCTCACCACCTTCTTTAACCCCTTACACAACTGCTTTAGGGTGCGGTTGTGGAACACTTGCAGAGCTGTCCCATTGACTTGAATGGGTTTTGTTCCCGCTGAAAGCAACAGGGAGTATAATTCCTGCCACAAAGCAAAGCAAAGCACAGCAGCCCTGACATATGTACACCTCCAGTTGCTACCTCTGCAGCTAAATAGGATCATGATTGGGGGAAGCAAAGGTCCATGCCAAGCACGAACTGACCTTTGGGGCGCTCGGGCACATGCCCGAGGGCCCAGAGTCAGTAGGTGGCCCCATGAGATGCCCTTGGTACCTTTCTTAGCTTTTTTGGGTGTGGTTTGAGTGTGGGCGAGGACACAGAGGCCCCATGATCCTCTATTGCCTGGGAGGCCCCATGAGTTGTCTGTCCGCCCCTGGTCCATGCACACTAGGGACAGAAAAAAAACTCTAGAACATCCGGCAGAAAAGTGACAAAAACATTTCATAGTGGCTTGTATTGTACAAGAGTTTATGAGACAAAGTGATCCAACACTCCAGGGCTCAGACAGTAAAAAAGTTGGGTTTAGCTCTGAGGAAGGGGGCACACCCCCAAAACACGTCCGCTTACCAACATATATTTGTGTGGTCAGATGACATTGTCCCCATGGTTGGATTTGACATGTATTATTACACCTGTTCTATCTCATGTTTGTAAGTATGTTTTTGATCTTTTGCTTTAATCAAAAGTGGTGCTGGTAATGCACTAGGGGTTTTTCACTCTCCTTGCTTGTATAAACTTTTTTTTAAAACATTCCCCTTTGCTCATTTTTCAATGTACCGTACACTTAAAAATGCCAAACTCTCCTAAACACAGCGTTTATGTGTGTTTAGCAATTTTTTCTTCAAAAGCGCCTCTCAAAAAAAAAAAACGTGACTCTGGAGGGCTTTTTTTAATCTACCTCTGAAAACATGATGGTAAACTCCATAATGTGCATGGACACATAGGCTAACATGAAGTTGCTTCTACAGGCTGTAGAAAAATAAAAAACACACAAGCAAAACCCCTGTATAAGCAGCATTTTTTTTTATGCCCAGTGTGCATGGACCTTAGAAACGCAGCTCAACTACAGGGTTTACCATCCCCCAACGTCACATGTGAATGAGCCCCAACACTGAATGAATTAGTGTAGTACCTCTATGAAAAAGGAGATGCAGAAAGGAAGTTAGCATATTTTCCCTCTTCTTTAGATTTCAAGGGACCATATTTACGTGTTCATCTTCCTTTGGTTCTAGAACAACCTTTTTCAACCAGCGTGCCCAGGTACCCTGGGGTGCCTTCAGGTTTCTTCAGGGGTGCCTTGGCAAAATGCCCAAAAATTTGATATAAGCCAGCAGGTGGATCAAGCCTGCCTTCAGTTACACAAAGCCACAGGTTTTCATTGTGCACCATTACCACCTTCTAGCCGCCAATGACATAAAAAAACAATTATGTCATCAGTTGATAAGGAGGACTTTGGGCACCTGCACAGCATCCTTGCTTGCCCCTCTCCATCAGTGCTGGGGTCACATTAGCTGAATGAGGGAGAAGAGAAACAAATAATGGAATACTAGTCAGTACCAGTGTGGAAAGGTATATTTGCTTTGAAAGAATAAATCCCCTCTGATGTTGGATGTCCCACATGTGCAGATGTTGCTGCATTCTGTGAAACTATTAGTTTAGTACTTTACATTTTGTAATGGATGCCTCAAGGTTGTGCAGAATGGTAAAGGCTGCCTTGTAATTGTGCAGAATTTTAAAGGGTGTCTCGAGATTGTGCAGAATTTTAAAGGGTGTCTCGAGATTGTGCAGAATTTTAAAAGGGTGCCTTGACTTAAAAACGGTTGAGAAACACTGTTCAAGAAAATTCCTTACTTGCTAGGAGGGCCCTGCTCTATTTACATTTCAGCTCCTTCTTGTCTAGATTTCAAGGACCGCACTCTACAGTTTCAGTCTATAAGGTCTACTTGCAAAATACAAAATGACAGTTATTTCTATGGCTCCATGCGGTTTCATGAACACATTCAACTCTTTCATGATCAGAGATTATGGATGCCTAGATGCTCAGACCAAATTTAACAGCGGCTTTATAAATAGACAGACAATAATTCTATGAATAATTTTCCTATCTAACATTTTTACAATTATTTTTTTTAAAAGGAGGCAGTAGAGTTTCAAAAATAATAAAAAAAAAAATCAAAAAACTTTTTGGATTATCTTCAGCCTATAATAATGCATCTCAGCAGGGTATTTTTTAAAACCTTGTACAAAGTAAAAACTGTGTTTTTCTGTGCACATTGAGTGCAAAGAGAACTAAATGCACTGCCAGCTGTCATGTGATCACCATACTATAGTTTACATGGTGAGCAAATGTTAGGGAACCATACGGATTGCTTTCAAAACATGTTCCTTATCATTTGAACATTTGAGACTAGTAGCACTGTCCGTGACGGTGCTGAACACTTCACGTTGTCAAAATGGAATGTAGATTAAAGTGGCACAGTGCAGCAGAATGTTAACCTACAGATGAGCGAACTGGAAGGGGTTTACCAACACATTCGGACATTTTCAGTAGGTACTCACCTTGATTTCAATTTGCTCCTCCATCTCCTTACTTTTAATAGCAGCATATTCTTTTTCCAGTCTAAGTAGGGAAGGACAGAATGTTTCAGTTTTAAAGCCTACGCCAGAGCAACAAGTTACCCCAATAATAGCTCAATCATGTCTTCATACCGCTTCATTCTCTTTGGATTGTACTTGACTTGGTAGGCCTTGTGGATCAGTTTATCAGGACAGCTGTCAAACTGGTGTGGGATAACCTTCTGAAAATACTGAAAATTTGCAGAAATTAGTTTGGTTCCATGGGATATACAGTACATGTTAAGTGAACAGAAATGAAATATTGGTTTAATTGCATTGACTGCTAAATCAATGGATAATTGCTTTGATCAAGATGTCTCAGTAGACATAGTTGCCTTTAATGTGCTCTACTGTTTCCTACACATATATTTAACAGATAGATTTCTGTAAGTAGAGGCCATGCGAACATGTAGACCTCTTACTGTATCGATCCGGGCCATCTGCCTTCCCGAGCCTGGCTGGTCTTTGAGGCTGCATTCACACTTGAGCAATCTGCAGTTTGAAGCTTAAAGCTCAACATTACAAAAGCTAACTTTAAAAATCAATTGTTCTCTATGGTGCCTGTTCATGTGGTCAGGTGTGAACAGTCTATGGTTGTATGTCAATGGGAACTGCAGCCTGCTTGTGACTTCAGTTTGAGATGCTTCTGAAATCAATTGGACTTCTGACTTACTTTTCACCTGAAGGTGTTGCATTCCCATTGATGTGTAAGGGGAGATTAGATTTTTTTTTTGACAAATGGAACTTAACTTTTGTTGATAAAAAGAATCCACTCTAGGTGATTGGGCTATAGGTTGTGTAATTTCTCAGACTTACATAAACATATTTGTTTTTAGGAGTAAACAGCATCAGCTACCTTCTGGAAACATCTCTCAAACAAATGCCAATGAAACAATGTTTGCACATGTGGTCTTCCAATGTGGTCACCATGGAAATATACATGTTTTTAACTATTGCCATGGTTGTAGAGAAGCTTTTTCAAACATTGGACCCAAAGCCATGTCAATAGGGATTAACAATATCTCAACCTTTTGATATATTGAACCATGACATTTATAATACTACAGTGCCATTCAGAATTTTGAGTTAGAAAATGCTTCACTCATAGAAACTGACATAAATGGAAGAGGTAGAAAGGATACACCCATGTGGGAATGGATACCCAAACTTTCTAAATAAAATGTCAGCACCACAAGCTGAAAGTGGGACTCCACAAGACCAAGGAAGGGCCATACCAGAGGGGCTCCACAAGATCATAGAAAGGCTTTGCCACAGGGGACTTCATATAACCAAACAAGCCTCTGCTAGAGGGAATAGCATTAGAAGCCGCACAAATGGCAGAAACAATACCAAAAAACCCAGTTTCATGCAATCACCTGAGATGCCTGGAGTCCTGTTTGCTATGAAAATTGCAAACCAGCTATTATGTAACCTTAATGACCTGGTAGTGTATTCCTATAGCCTACAGACCATTGACAATGCTAGTGAGATTAAATGGCACGTGCATGTGGGTTTCATGCATATCTGTAGTACTCTGTATGTCCTGTATTGTTTTCCGAAAACTGCAAGTAGTTTGCTTGTATAGGGAACATCCTTATTTAGTAAAAGCACAGTAATAAACTACAGGCAGGGGCGGGCTGATCATTTGGAAACTCGGGCACTGCCCGAGGGCCCAGGGTCAGTAGGGGGCTCCATGAGATGCCCCTGGTACCTTTTTCATAGGCTTTTTTGAGTTTGGGCAAGCACACAGGGACCCCATGATCCCCTATTGCCCGGGAGCCCCATGAGTTGTCAGTCCACCCCTGACTACAGGGTTTTTGTTTCCTTGCTTTACTGCAAAGTAACTGAAACAGTACAAACAAAATCATAATCTATATACAATTGCAAGGATTTTAGCAAATGTTGTTGCCTATTTATTCATTCCTTTGTTCCAAAGAAACAGCTATTTGTTTTAACATGTCATCACTTAGATTCCTGAATGGGAGGGTCTCATTATAGCCATCTGAACAATTCTAATATTCTAATAAGGAAAGCTACAATATCTGCTTCCCTTTAGAGGAGAATAGGCTTTAAAAGTATCTCCCCATAAATAAAACAGGATGCCATTGTTTCACTCTTTTGACAAAGCAACAGTGAACCTTTAAAGGCCAAGTTGGCCTTTAGGGAGAAACGAAATGAAGATACCCCCCAGGAACCTGCAAAGCATTTCGCCCGTGATGAATGGATCATGGAGGCAATGTCAGGCTCCTGCAGGCACTTACTCTAGCTTTCTGCCTGTACTTCTGCACAGGCTTTGTTAGAAAGCTGGAAGAAGTGTTATTGAGATACAAGCTGTCTGCCGCAGTGGAAGATGGGACTTGTAGTTTATTCAGTCACAGATTTCTGTGAATGAATGACGCAGCTGTGCGGGAAGAGCCATGCATAGTCGGCCATTTTTAAATTGCGACAGCGGCTGTGGGAAAGAGGGACCACCACCCGCTGTCACGGGTGAGGGAAAATCAGGGGGAGGTCCTGGAGCATGTTACGTGTTACGCCCTAAATATGAGTGTAATGTGCAACACGTTCAAAACATGAACTCATATAGACTGTTTTTTTTTTTTCCCCTTCTCCATGCAACAGCAGCTGACAATACCTACCTGTGACATCCCTTCCATGTCCAGCTGCATGAGCTCTGTCTGGTTTACAGTCAGTATTGCCATCCCTACTCGGAATATGACCTCTAGTCCCTGCAAAGGGACAAAAACAATGATAAATTACATAATATTCCAAGTCTTGCATAATGCTTTCATCTAGTAACAAGTAAAAAGGACTGACACTTACCTCATAAATGAAGATATCAAAGATACGTGTTGCCACAGGCAGGGGGAAGGTGGTGAGAAACAGGGTTAAAAACCATGAAGAGGCATACATTGATGTGTGGAAACAGTGAGATCGGAAGTGTAGATTCAGCTCTGGGAGCTGGTCCTGTGAAATACCCATTACATTATGAATGAGGCCTTAAAATATATGTAAAGTTAATGAAGTAAAAGCATATTATCCTCTTCCAATACATTTTCTATCCATTCAATCAGTTAAAAAAAAAAAAAACAAAAACAAAAAAAACAAACAAACAACACTTTCTATACCTTTAATTTTATGGTTATTCTACAGTCACATGATAACATGGCCTTCCTGCCTGGCAATTTTCGAGAGTGTGGGAGAAGTGGTGTATCCACTGCCTGGAGGACATTCAGTGGAATTGCACCTCAGACATCAGGCAAATAGGTTCCTTACTTTGACAGCAAAGCTTCTGCTAGGAGCTGCTGTCAATCAAGAAAAGCAGAAAAGTTGACTACAGGAGTACAGGCACAGTGCTCTGTAGATCTGAATAGCAAAATCTGGCATGCAAACTGACCACACCAGCACACATCTGCTTCTGTGCTTTGCACGGTCAGAACTGTACAGGAACATGAGGAACTGGTAGGATCACTAGATTTTTCACAGTAAATGGGACTGCAGTGACATGAGAAGAAAATCAAACACTAAAGAAATGTATTCATGCAATATCAATTTTAGGCTTTATATATACTTTGAAGGAGATCTTGCACTATAAAAAAGGCACGCTTAATTATTTTTTTCCCTCCTTCCCCCTTGCTAAAATGCTGCATTAAACAAAAGAAAAAAAAAATGTAGTGTTGGGGGTGACTTCAATATCCTGACGATGAGATCCTGGGGAGTACAGAGTACTCCAAATCTCCTGAGAAGATGGTGTGGCACAGTACAGGAGTGTGTTTGTGAGATTTTGGCTACGTAATATTCCCTGGGATCTTGCCATAAAGAATGATGATTTCACCCCTTGCCTAATCACCACAGGCCAAGGAAAGGTAAAATATATTATCTACCCCATATGGTTTGCAAAACCTTAAATAGACTCAAAGTCAATTAGCACATTTTATTTAGGATGGAAATCAAATGAACGTACCTGTAACATATACTCCAGCTGATATATACATAGGCCCAGCTCAGCCATACTGGGCTTAAAGAGTTCCCGTAATCGATATTCCTGCATCAGCCGCACAAACACACAAAAGGCTTCTTCCTCTGGCATCTGACAGGGAAAACGGCAAAATACAATGGGTAAAGATGCAAAAGGGTATGATAGTGAGGTTACAAATAAAAAGTTATTTAAAGTGGTTGCAACCTCAGATATAAAATATGAACAAAGCATATCCCTCTATAGTGTGTGCTTGTCTCAATCCAGAGCACCAGATTGGCTGCCTTGTTCCTCCGCTATCAGCATGAATAACGTTTGAGAAGTTTTCCTGACACCAAGAGAAAGATGTTGACAGGGGAGGGACCTCTAGCAGATTGACAGCCCCAGCTCTGTTCTTGTGAGCTGTGTGGAGGAGAAGGGGCAGAGGCGGAGGGGAAGGGGCGGGGGTCTCTTTCCTAGAACCACCTATCAGAGTTCTCCTCACTGAGCTCTGCAGAGTGCAACTTCAGCTCTATGTCCCCTTTATTTCTGAACTCTCAAACTTTATAAAGTTTGCACTTTGAACAGACAGAGAAGACTTCAGATAATCTTGTGTAGGAGGATTTGTTTAATCTCTGTGTATCACCTGAAGGCAATCAATTCACAGGGTAAATGTTAGGGTTTACAACCAGTGTAAAAAAAAACAAAAACCTTTGAATTGCACTAAAATATTTCTGAATTTACAATGGAGTCCCAGGTGTCAATGAGGCCCATTACTGAACACCAATGAAAGAAAAATGAGCAATAAACTTGGGTTGCTGTCTTCAGCAACCAATCAGAATTTATGTTTGCAGTTCAGCTCCCACAAATTTTTTCAAAAACAAAATGCCCCCCAAATATGGTACAAATTAACAATGCAATATTTAGTCAATGCAGATAGGTCCACCGCACTATCAATCTTGACTGAGGACTTGCTATGAATGCAGGGCAGCATGGACATGCCCTCTAAGGAGGCCTCACCAGCGCATCTTATATTCATAGTGTATCGAATCAGAGAGCTGTGCTGACATCATCATATCAGTGTTCCTTGAGGAATTTATAGAGGCTGGAGAAGAGGCAAAGAGGAAACATGGGGGGGGGGGGGGGGGGGGGGGGCTTTAAGCTTTTCATTCACTAAAGGAGGAACTGATTGGTTGCTATTAACAATGTCTCCAATTTAGCAGTCATTTTATTTTTTACAGTTTCAATGCATCAGCCGCAATGTATCCATTTTTCTGGTATGTCAGTTTTTCCTGGATACGAGATCCCAAAAATAGTTGGATTCCCACTGATGCCAGCAAAATGAAAGGCAAATCTGATCATTTAAAAGCAAAAGAAGGAACCTCGGAACGGTATCTGATCCATTATAGGAAAGGTATCAATATCCTTTTCAGAAATTACAGCGCCAGCATCTGATTTTATTTATTCTCCATAAAAGACTATTAAAAAAGTTATTGAAGCTGGCACAATAGTGTTAGACACATAGCCAAAAAAGTGTATATGGTTTTATCCCGTCACTCTTCATCCCTCCTGCAGAATATCAAATACCTCAATTATCTACAAGAAAATCCACAAATCTTCCATGTACACAGTGAGGGAGAAAGGATTCTTGACGTGCTTCGTGGACTACATCTGCCACTTCCTCAAGAGATTATTATTATTAATAACACATGATTCATAGAGCGCCAACAGTTTGCACAGCGCTTTACAACACAAAGGGAGACAGTACAATTATAAAATAGTTCAACATAGAAGGAATAGGAGCTTACAATCTAAAGGGAGGTGGATGTGGTACAAAAGGCAATAGCTGCGGAAGATGATCTAATGGAGGTGGCCAAAGTACAGTTTTTAGGTGGAGGTGGGGCAAGCTTTCCTGAATAAATGAGTTTTCAGAGATCACCTGAAGGCAGACAGGAAAGCAGCTAATTGGACATACTGGGGTAATGAGTTCCAGAGGATGAGAGAGATTCTGGAAGAATCCTGGACGTGATCATGGAAGGAGGAAACAAAGGAGCTAGAGAGCATGAGGTCTTGGGAGTAGCAGAGAGGACAATTTGGGTGATATCTTGAGATGCGTTTGGGGACGTAGCTGGGGGCAGTATTGTGGATGGCTTTGTATGTTGTGCTTTAATATTTTGAATTTTCATATGTTGGGCTAGTAGAAGCTAGTGGAGGGATCAGTTAGTAAGGTGTATGAGTTTAGTAGCAGCATTCTTGATAGGCTGAAGAGGGGGGGGGGAGCCTGGGTAAAGGCAGGCCAGTGAGAATGGAATTGCAGTAGACAAGGTAGGAGATACTCAGGGACTGAATATGTTGTTTTGTGCTGTCATTAGATAAGAAGTGAATTCAGGAAATATTGCAGAGGGCAAGGCGGCAAGATTTAGCCAGGGATTGGATGTGGGGCCTGAAGGAGAGGCCAGAGTCTAGGATTACACCTAACACCCTGACATGTACAGGGCCTGTGCTGATGATCTCAATGGCAAAATCATGCGGGGAGGATCAGGAAGGAGGAAATATTAAAAGCTCAGTTTTCAACAGATTGAGTTTGAAGTGGCGTGACATCCATACTGATATGTTGTTTGGTAAACCTGAGAGAAGTGAGGAGATTGAGCGGGTGAGCCAGGGAGTAGAGAGCTAGATCTGGGTGTCACCGGTATAGGGGTGGTATTGGAAGGCGTGGGAACTTAACTGGCCCAGCAAAGAGGTGTAAATAGAGAATAGGAGGGCCCAAGGACAGAGCCTTGGGGTACCCCAACAGAAAGAGGAAGAGAAATGGGGGGGATAGAGTTGTAGGTGACACTGAAGGTGTGATGAGATAGGTAGGAGGAGAACCAGAAAAGAACAGAGTCGTAGAGGCCAAGGGATTGGAGTTTATTGAAGAGGAATGGGTGTTTGACTGTGTCACAGGCAGCGGAAAGGTCTAAGAATATGAATATGGAGTAATGGTCGTTGGCCTGCTATATTATAGACTTATTACAGTCTATTATATAGTAATAGTAAGTGCCAGCTTGTTTTTAAACATCATCATAGAAGGAACATGGGATCAGGTTAGAAAAAAAAGGTTGAAATGTAGACCCAATATGCAAATTGCCTATATATGCACTTATAGGCCAATAAGGAAGATTAGTGCCAATATTTGTACACATATGGTCATTTAAAACTGTACAATCAGATTGTAATGTCTGTATTGAACCTAGATTAGTGGTTCTCAACTACTGAGCAACGGTCTCCCTCTTGCCAAGATGCAGCTTTTTATCTTCCCCGACAGTTCCTGATGTCATACCAGGTTCAGACTGGACTGCTGGAGGATTGGATGATGAATTGAGAAGCTCCTCTACCCTGGTAGCCAAAATATTTTTTTCTTATTGTTGAGGAATGGAAGATTTTGGAGGAGTATAGTAGGCCCTGGTCTCACTGAGGAGAACCAATTATCTAGATAATTTGATTTTTAGATGTAGATAACTATACAATGTATGTGGGCTGAGGTTTCTGTACAATATGATCTATAGAATTCGGAGTATTACCTGCATGAGAAGAAGGCCCACAATGAAGGCACTGCCCTGGCAGTAACCCACTTCCCGATCTATCAGCGAGTATGCCTGTGGAAGAAAGGAATACATATCTGTATAATACAGGCCACAATCTCTGCCTAACAAGTGGTTTGTATTCCTTTCGGATATTAAAGTGGTTGTAAAGGCTCAAGGTTTTTTACCTTCATGCATTCTATGCAAAAAAACCTTCTGTGTGCAGCATCCCCCCAATACTTACCTGAGCCCCATCGCAATCCAGCTCTCAGCAATGTTGGACAATGCTGATCAGCGCAGTTCAATGCACCTGGTGTAACTGATCACTAAAGGAACTGCTCATAAAAGTCACAACAATAATTAGGCACCAAAAACGGCTGGGACACGGGAGCCTCTTGGAATTTCCAGCTGTTTTCAGGTACTCTCTCCCTTCCCCTGCAGCCACTGCTTACAGAGGGATCACCTGACCAAACCAGACTGGACTAAAAATATATAAGCACACACATCTTTTTTTACACAGAGTAGGCAGAATAGGTGGCAGGAGGGGGTTGGGAACATTTTTTACGTCCTCCCGGAACGAGCTGGTTGCACCGGACACAGAGGTTGACCGATCGGTGTACTGGCTGCTGCGGGTACCATGCGATTGCTGGGACCAAACACAGCAGATCATATGACAATTGTACACAATGGATATCTTTCACTCATGCCATCCATTATGTACTATTGTGTTGATCTCTGATTGGTCACAGTGATCACATGGTACTCACAGGGCCGATCACAGTCCATCTGTACCATGTGATTACCTGTTGCCAATCACAGCTAACCACAATAGTAAACACTAAATGAATCTATTTCATTCAGTAAAAATGTGAAAAAAAATCCTGATCCCTTCCCCAGAGTAGTACAATGTTACTATGGTAACATTGTCACAGCGTGTTAAAAAAAATAATTGAAAAAAGTTTTTTGTTTTTTTTTTTACCACATACTGTCACCAGTCATTGTCCCTGATCACCGCCACACCAGTTATACGATGACGCTGTACTGCACTGGTGACAGTATGTAAAGAAAAAAATAATTGTGAAAACATTTTTTTTTTTTTAATTTCTTCTTTTTCCAAAACATTGTCACAAAAAATTACAACTTCAAAAAGCTTGCAATACCTCTTACTAAATACCTTGGACTGTCTACTTTCCAAAAAAGGGTCATTTGGGGGGTAATTGTACTGTATTTTTGGGTCTTAAGAAATGAGATCAGTACATTAGGGATTGATCTATTTTCAAATATATATCTATATATACCATAGTTTGTGGACTTTATATATACGGTAACTTTCCTAAAGACTAAATAATAAACACTGATTTTGATCATTTTCACCAAAGAAATGTAGCAGAATACAGTTTGGCTGAAATTTATGAAGAAAGAATATTTCGCAAATAAATATTCTAACAGAAACAAAGAAAAACTTTTTTCTGCAAGATTTTCTGTCTTTTTTTGTTTATTTAGCAAAAAATAAAGAGCCCAGTGGTGATGCTATACCAACAAAAGAATACTCTAGCTTTGTGAAAAAAAGGATAAAAATCTAATATGTGTAGTGTTGTCCTTCAAAGTGAGACAGCGCTGGAAGCTGGAAACTGGCCTGGGCAGAAGGGGGTAAAAGAGTCTTAGGCTGGAATTTCACTTTAATCTAGAATCTCTGGAAGTCTTTTCACATAACTGTCTGAGACCATGAAGCACAACAGCTGAATATTTCATAACCCCATACATTTGACGCCGTGAATCCAGCGGTATCGAAGACTATACAGTCTTATGATTAAAGCTACACACCTGTACAGACAGACATTCAGTGTGGTCACTGGACAGACAGTGAGGGGCAATCTCCCCAATGGGGATACAGATATCAACCTAACAAAGATTGCACCCTATAATCAGGAAAAAAAAAAAGTGTGACTGCGAACTGGTGCAAATATCTATGAATGTGCATCTCTATACAGTATCTACTCAACTGAACAGCAAAATGTGAAAGTGGCAATTTCCCCAGGTGGCAAGAGCACCAGGGCAAAACCAGGAATGGGGGATACGGCAAAAATAACATCAAAATAATGGCATTACCTTCATGACATTGAACAGCCCCTCTTGCCCTAGGCTGTCCTGTCCCCTAAAAAAGTCATGTTCGGGATAGGTTCGAGCAATGTCTCTGCGGATCAGCTTCTCACAGGGCGAGGACATTCTCAGCAGGTCGGCATATTGCTTCTTTACTGGCATTTCTGTTGCATTACACAACATCTGCCATACCATGGCTCTGAAGTGATGTGGGATCCCTTTTCGAATCAACTCCTGTAAGGAAAACATATAGTAATAAATACCCATTTTCAGAATGAAAACCAATGGGGTAGAAGACCACACAATGCATGTGCACTTTAAGGGTTCATTTACACTAGCGGCAAGGATTGCCACTCTTCTGCCAAATGCACTGGGTGAAGTTGCAGCATTGCCCCATTCACTTGGGGGTAGAATTCCTACTGAAGCTGCAAAGCAAACCATCGTAGCTTGTGTACACCCCCAATCACTGCCTTTGCAGCTAAAGGGGGGGGAACGGTTTGAGCAGTAAAAATGCCGCTCAACCACATGGTTCCAATACATGTTGTAGAGATGTATTCATTCACCTAGTTTGACCCTATTCACTAAAGGGACATGTAATGTCTTTTTCCAGGTCACACAGCATTCAATCCATGGCTTGCTATTTCCTTAGGGTTGCATTACAAATGTGGGAGTACTATTGTGATGAAAGACTCAATAGTGATATTTCTGTTAAGTGTTCTGCCTGTTTGTGTCTGTGTCAGATCCAATTACAATGTAGCTCTCACCTGCAGATCACTAGACTGAGAGACCCAGGGATTATGGCATCTGTAGTTTCTGCACAGGAAGTGTCAGTTCTTAGACTATAGACAGGGGTCTTGCATTAACCCTTTGCATTACCATGCCCCATGCTTGAACACAAACAGAAACTTCTGGCACAGGAAAGTGAAGATTTACTCTGATAGGTTGTGTGTGCAGGGCAACAAAAGACATAATGAAACTACATGATCAATGCGTATCTTATGCAAGTGAAAAATGCAATGTGCAGGAAGGAAGGTTTATAATGCCATTAATTAAATGTAGACATAAATTGACTGTTCATGATTAAAATGCATCAGTCTTGGATCTTGTAAGTACTGTGTAGATCTTCTCCTGTGCTCGTAATAATGCACGCTGTGCTAAACTGCACCCACTGTGCACATAAATGACTCACCAAAACAATATGACCTTTAAATAATAGAAAGTCTAGAGAGCTTGTGATATGGGAACTCCGTTACATATAACTTTCTCCAACACTTTCTACTGAGCATTTCCCATTTTTCCACTTCTAACTCTCAGATCTGGAAAATCTCATACACTCTTCCATTTATTTTTTTTCTCAAAACAGTATAACAAGGGGGAGATGCCAAACAGTATAGTATACTTATAGAATACTGTATGTAAACCCAACATGTCATATTCCTGATATGTACCTGTACCATGTACTTGTATGAAAAAGTATCCTGATCTCTTTGTATTGCTTCCTTTGTATGAAATTCCTGGTGTTCCTACTAGTCCCTCTGCTTTACCAATAAAAACTGACTACACTAGAGCACAGTATGGTCAGTTTGCTGGCTGTGCTGGGAACTCAGCTCCCAACTACCCCAAATCCCCCGAATTGCAGCCGATCTCTGTGTCTCTAGCCTCTCCACCCTCTGCCCCTGTTGTTCAGCTTTAAAATGTCTCCATACCACTATTCTGTCCCCTTTCCCTGCTGACCCACCAGCCCCACAGCACTGTCCGTCCGTCTCCATCCCCCCCCCCCCCCACACACACACTTGCAACCCCAATCCCCTGTGGTTACCCCGCAGCTGCCAGCTTCCAGCCTCTCCCACCAGCTTCAAGTGCTGCAGGGCAGCCACAGGGGCTTTAAAAATGTAACACACCCTGCCACTCTGACCCCCTCACCAGTTCCCTGCATCTGCCCCTGCTGTGTTCACCATCCCTCTACCTTTCCTTGAATAGGCATAGTGAGCAATCAGTACCAAAAGCTCTTCTGTCTATTCATCACTGAAGCATAGTAAACAATGTTTACTATGCTTCAGTTTGTGAATGAATAGGAGTCTCTATATAGACACCTATTTATTCATGTACAGTGCAGCAGAGGCTGCAGAGAAAGGAACTGTCTTCAGGGCCTTTCTCTGTCTCAAAAAAAAAAAAAAAAAAAAGAGTCATCATGGGTTTAGACCTCTGATATCTCCCAAAACACATTAGTAAAGCCTTGTTCAGACAGGGCATAATACAGCAAACACCCTTGCAAAACCATGTTTATCCATACAGGGATGCACAGGTTTTCCGTGCATCCCTGTGCAGGCAGTCCCATTGAGGTCATTAGGGAGGTAGCAATTGCAAGAACACCGACGATGCTTCCAATTTGACATCCATGTTAGTCCGGGTGCATGTCCCTGAACTCATACTGTGTGCGTTCCTGATCATGCACCCACACAAATGTCAGATTGGGAGCAGCGGCTGTACCTGCGCAGCCGTTGCAACCCTATTGACATGAACAGGACTGCCTGCTTGTATGCACTATTAATGACTTCACTGTATTTTTAGTGAAAATAGAGATTTGAGGAACATTTCCGCAACGATTGCAAGTACAGTGGCACTTTTTTGGTTCTATAGGTAATATGCTTTCAGACTATATATATATGGTTTGGGGGGTCTTTTACAAACTCCAAAAGAGAAAAATGATAACCTCCAGATTTTGAGAGTAAATTGTATTCAATTACAATTCAAAGCACCTTCAGTTATCACCATTTTACAAAAAGGTGCAATTTACAAATATTTGTTATTTATTAACTCAAATACAGTTTTAACTTTTATATTTAGTAGTAATTTAGCAGGAATATTGTAAATTTTGCCATCTATATATCCACCAATAATGAGTTTAGTGTATTTCAAGAGAAAATATTGTTTTGATAAATGTTCGCGCACATATCACAGAGCCTACAAAAAAAAAAAATAATAATCAGTAGTGCCTTCCTTTTATTCTACTGGTCCTATGCTTTTAGAAAAAATATGGCTTAGGGGGTGTCACACAAACTCTGAAAGTTGTAAGGAAAAAATAAAAAAGCAATGGAAAAACTGCAAAGATGGCCTGGCCATCTGAGTTTAAAAGTGGAGCACAGGGCCTGGCAGTAAAAGAGTTAAACCACTTTGTTAACATATTTAAAAAAAAAAAAAAAAAATCCAAGATACACTCACTTTCTATGGTGCATTAAACTGCACCAGTAGATTTAAATTTATCCACTGACAGAGTCCATGCAGCTGCACAATTCACAATGTCATCTAGGACATTCTGTATGCCTTCTCCTCGGAATCAAAGTCATGGATGACGAAACGCATTGGGCGGAGAGCCAAGGAGAACGCACATTCAATTGGAGAGGGCAACTGCATAGACTTGCTTGTATGTGTTATATAATTTTTTTTAATGTTAAAGTGGTTTTAAAGGGACCCTAACCAATCCACTAATTACTGGCCCTATAATCTATTTTTCATGAAATAATTTCATGAAAAAAAATCTGTATCCAGTCAGGCAGGCCCTTGTACAACATAGATGTTGATGGCTCTAAATGAGATTGTATAGAGGAATTATAAGATTTGGAGGTGGCCGAGAAAAATAGAAGGCATTTTTGGAGTTAATAATCTCAATTTGAATAGAATATATTTTTAAATCAGAGTTTAGTGTCACTTTAAGCATACTACACTGTGGGGTGGGCATAGGTGACACCAATGAATTTTGTAACTGTAACCAGAAAAAGGTGTCTCCTCCTGGCTTTGCAGTATGGTAGTGATCTCTTAGATTGTAAGCTCCAAGGATCAGGCCCTCCGAACCCTCTTGTATTGAACAGTATTGTTGCTGTATTGTCTCCCGTTATATTGTAAAGCGCTGAGCAAACTGTTGGCAATATATAAATCCTGTATAATAATAATAATAATAATAATGTGTTAATCAGAAAAGCAACTCATTAAGGACAAAATTCCTGGCAAAAAAAAAAGAATCATATACTTAGGTTCTCAAATACCACATAGAGTATATGCCAAACCTTCCTCTACTTTATAAATGAAAGCGTTAGTTCACAGCTGCATACTCATGCTTCCATAAATGAGCTATGCACAATACAATCTGACTATGCAGTCTTGTTAACTTTGAATAAAGACAGATTGGATAGTTAAGGTATGTCTTTATGTTACATAGTTATTGTAAATCTAGTAAGGTAGACTAGCCTTTATACAACATAGATGCTGAAGGATCTAAATGAGATTGTATAGAACAGGGGTTCTATACAATCTCACTGTGGGCCACATCAGCATCATGGTTGTCCTCAAAGGGCCAGTTGTACCTTTAAGACTAGATGTCCAGAGCACCACCTCCCCCAGTTTACATCAGATGTCAAAAGCCTCACGCCCTCCCTTACTTCACAGTGCACACCGTTACCTTGTGCTGCTGCAAAGAAGAAGGTGGGGGTGGAACTGGGAAGCAGAAAGTGCAGGGTCTGGAGAAGGACCAGAAGAGGGCTGGAGTCCACTAAATGCTGAGAACAGGGAAGGAGAAGACGAGAGGGTGGCTGCAGCTGCACAGAGAGGCACAGAATCTGTAGGAGTTGTTCTGTCCTCTCTTCTTCTACCGGCTGCTGGGATGGGGGGGGCAGAGATGAACCTTACTGCGACTGCACAGAGAAGAGTAGTATCTGGTGGAGGAGACGAGGTGACTGCTGCAGCTGCAGAAGAGGTGGGAGGGCCACATGAAATGGCCTGGCAGGCCAGATTCAGCCTGCACACCTTGTCCTCTGCTCATCCCTCCTGTATGTCTTTTTTTTATACTTTCAGCCCTATGCAAAAGGCTCACAGTCTCATATGATCCATGTTAATAATTACCAGTTATGTAACCAGTTACTCTGCGATTGTGGTATCAGGCAGAACACAGAACAGAGTCCTTGACAATACCCACATAAATGAAGTCGCCAACCACTTGCCCCTCTTACTAACCTTAAGCAGCTTCTCCTTCCTCCTGGTCCACTCCTCCCAGTGGGTGACAATGCGTCCCCATAGCTCCCAGCTGTCCTGGTCCAGAGGTGGTGGCCCCGGGGAGGTGACGCTGGTCCTGCAGGAACCAGTAACACTTCGCAGTGACTTGGAGTCTGCTTCCAGGAGCCTGTGACACACAATTACAGCCTTAGACAATATTATCAAGTTTGGATCATTTGTAGTTCTAAGTATAGAACAACTAAAATGGTCTGTTTATTATAATATCTGGAAACGTAATTCACCGTTTGCAACAGCAGCCAAGACTTTGACTTGTTCCCTATTACTTAGAAGAGAACCCGGCTGGCATACCACAGACACTCCCAGATGATGATGACAAAACAGTTCTTGGTGAAATTGCACACATTGTACAAAAATGAGACATACTTTTAGACTGCATTTAATATGCATTACAGATTCTGCACTTGGCTTTGTTTAATTCCAAGTTAACACGTATTTATTAAATGAAAAGAGGATATATACTCACAAACCAACGTGATAAAAGGCAGTAAAAGTGGTCCACAAGGGGCCCTTGTGGACCACTTTTACTGCCTTTTATCACGTTGGTTTGTGAGTATATATCCTCTTTTCATTTAATAAATACGTGTTATACCACGGTAATGCACGATGAGAGTGCGCCCTTGTTTGTTCTTTTCCACTAGTGGTCAGAATCCCCGATCTTAAAAGGGCAGCACCTCTTCGGTTGGCATTGCCTTGGTTGTATGAAGACTGGAGCGCTGGTTTCGTTCGTTCATCTTTTGTTTAATTCCAACTACAGGATGGGGACAACACCCCTACCCTGGTCCTCTACTCTGCCCCTTGAAGCACCTCACACCCCATTTTCTACGCCACCCCCAGAGCAACCTCCACCCCATTTAGGATTTAATTTTTTTTCAGCAGACATCTACTCTCTAATCATATGATGAGTTAGGCCCGGTCTTTGTTCTACTTGCCTCCAGCAGTGGGCAGTAGTATTGTGACCCTAGGCCAGTGTGAGGACCCTCAGCCCTGAAAAGCAGTGTCTGGAGGAGGGCAGAGCCAAGAGGAGAAGCTATTGGACCACCATGTAGGCCTGCTGGGTGCCTGGCTACGTCTAGCTTCAGTAAAGAGTCAGAAAATGCATGTAGCAGATAAAAGTCAGGGAAAAGGGAATGCTGGAGATTTAAACCCCGACAGTCTCTTCTGTTTCATGGGGACCCTCGATGACATCTCTGCGCAGATTGCCAAAGTCTGCACACCTACTGTTATCATAAGAAGGGCTCCCCCTCTCCCTTCTAAGCGTCCTTTCACATGGGGCATCATCCGTTCAGCCATGTAAGGGGGGGGGGCAGCGCATACAGCGAGGGGGGGCAGCGCGTACAGCGAGGGGGGGCAGCGCGTACAGCGAGGGGGGGCAGCGCGTACAGCGAGGGGCAGTGAATTCACAGAGGGGGCAGTGTGTACAGCAAGAGGGGCAGTGAATTCACAGAGGGGGCAGTGTGTACAGCGAGAGGGGCAAAGTGGAATGACAGCTTCACTTCCCCCTGCAGTGATATGGAACCAGCAAGTGTACACACTCCCCCCTCTGAAAGCAGAGACAAGTCACTGGTTGTTAGGACGCCATTGGGTGCCAGCTCCTACCAAACAATGCAAAAACGGATTGTGTGTCCATTTACATCTGTTTATGTCAGCTTCCGATTTTGTACAGGAACAAAAATAGAGCTATGATCCACTTCAAAAAACGGATCCTAGAAAGATGCAGATGTAAACGGATGATCAGATGTTAAAATGTGTTTGTCCATAGACATGCATTGCCATTTGTTTTTCATCCATCAGCGGCCGGATGAAAAATGGACAGATGGAACACCCGTGTGAAAAAGGGACTAAAATGTTGCGCTTTATACAAGGAAATATGTGACTATTGTTTGAATGGGTCTTTTAAAATGGTGTACAGTGAAATAATCCTTCCTGGGCGTCTACCTTATGCGGAGGACGAGAAGAAAAAATGCAAAGTGCACAGACCCATAGCAACCAGAAAATAACAATGTTCCCGATGATGATGGTAAGATGAAAGGAACACTCCAGACAAAACTGATAAGAAGTTCTTGAGATGCAACCAAGGAGCAAGTCCTCCAGTTTTCCATCCCAACATCATTGCATGGTGCCACCCTATGCCCCTCCCCTTTTGTCTGTTTTCTGGTCATCTGGGAACACCCCTACAGGCTCCTTGCTGCCTCTCACATAGAAAAAAAAATAGCCAGTACCTGAGAATTGTTCACATTTACCAATCACTTTCAACCCTGCCATGAAAAACAGAATGGGGTTTATTTACTGAAGCTGGAGAGTACAAAATCAGGCTCGCTGCTTGTTTTATTTTTTTATAGCTACTTATATAGCGCCGTCAATTTACACAGAGCTTTACATATATATTTACTTTACATTCACATCAGTCCCTAACCCTCAAGGAGTGTACAATCTAATGTCCCTAACTCACATACATACATAGTTTTAGCCAGGAGCCAATTAACCTACCAGCATGTCTTTGGAGTGTGGGAGGAAACTGAAGTACCTGGAGGAAACCCACGCAGGCACAGGGAGAACATGCAAACTCCAGGCAGGTGGTGCCGTGGTCGAGAATCGAACCAACAACCTGAGTACTGCCAGGTGGAAGTGCTAACCATGTATCCACTGTGCTGCCCTTACTCTTCTTCATAGAAACCAATCAGCTTCTAACCTCAGCTTGTCCAATTATCTTTGGCAACAAAACCTGGAAGCTGATTGGTTTCCATGCAGAAGTGCACCCAATTTTGCACTCTCCAGGTTCAATAAATAGACTCCACAGTGACTAGCGGTGCAAACAGCATACAGAGAGAAAGTTACACATCACATTCTTCATAATTAGATGGAACCTGTCATTCTGGAGGGTTGGAAATAATAGATTTTCTTATTTTAAAGCAATCCAATCCAGGTATTTATTCAGAGAAGGCGTGATAGGCATTTGGAGTAAAGTTGGCTATACATGGATCAGAATTTGGCCGGTTTAGCAGGGTCCGCTGTTTAGAAAAAAAAAAAAAGAAGAAGATTCATGTATGGGCTGCCTAAGAAACCAATATGTGCCAATCACAATTTCAGCATGTATCCTGCACTGTAGGACTTACACATATGAAAGTTTAAAACTGCTCTTTTAATGCATAAATGTCAGCATCATAGTAAAATGTAATTCACTTGTGGGGTTCAGTCCAGTGCAGGAATTGTCCTTCTGTTTGGGGAATGGGGGGAATCATAGTGGGACTGTCAGTCTGCAGTTAGCTGTGTGTACTGGAGTGCAGATCTCACTGGTGGCAAGGGGACTGGGGAGTGAGCTGTGTGTACTGGGGTGTCGATCTCACTGGTAACAAAGGGACTAGGTAGTGAGCTGTGTGTACTGGGGTGTCGATCTCACTGGTGACAAAGGGACTAGGAAGTGAGCAGTGTGTACTGGGGTGTCGATCTCACTGGTAACAAAGGGACTAGGTAGTGAGCTGTGTGTACTGGGGTGTCGATCTCACTGGTGACAAAGGGACTAGGAAGTGAGCAGTGTGTACTGGGGTTCAGATCTCACTGGTGACAAGGGGACTGGGGAGTGAGCTGTGTGTACTGGGGTGTCGATCTCACTGGTAACAAAGGGACTAGGTAGTGAGCTGTGTGTACTGGGGTGTCGATCGATCTCACTGGTGACAAAGGGATTAGGAAGTGAGCAGTGTGTACTGGGGTTCAGATCTCACTGGTGACAAAGGGACTAGGAAGTGAGCTGTGTGTACTGAGGTGTCGATCTCACTGGTGACAAAGGGACTAGGAAGTGAGCAGTGTGTACTGGGGTTCAGATCTCACTGGTGACAAAGGGACAAGGAAGTGAGCTGTGTGTACTGGGGTTCAGATCTCACTGGTGACAAAGGGACTAGGAAGTGAGCTGTGTGTACTGGGGTTCAGATCTCACTGGTGACAAGGGGACTAGGAAGTGAGCAGTGTGTACTGGGGTTCAGATCTCACTGGTGACAAAGGGACTAGGGAGTGAGCTGTGTGTACTGGGGTGTCGATCTCACTGGTGACAAGGGGACTAGGAAGTGAGCAGTGTGTACTGGGGTTCAGATCTCACTGGTGACAAAGGGACTAGGAAGTGAGCTGTGTGTACTGAGGTGTCGATCTCACTGGTGACAAGGGGACTAGGAAGTGAGCTGTGTGTACTGGGGTTCAGATCTCACTGGTGACAAAGGGACTAGGAAGTGAGCAGTGTGTACTGGGGTTCAGATCTCACTGGTGACAAAGGGACTAGGAAGTGAGCAGTGTGTACTGGGGTTCAGATCTCACTGGTGACAATGGGACTAGGAAGTGAGCTGTGTGTACTGGGGTTCAGATCTCACTGGTGACAAAGGGACTAGGAAGTGAGCTGTGTGTACTAGGGTTCAGATCTCACTGGTGACAAGGGGACTAGGAAGTGAGCAGTGTGTACTGGGGTGTCGATCTCACTGGTGACAAAGGGACTAGGGAGTGAGAGTGTGTGTACTGGGGTGTCGATCTCACTGGTGACAAAGGGACTAGGAAGTGAGCAGTGTGTACTGGGGTGTCGATCTCACTGGTGACAAGGGGACTAGGAAGTGAGCAGTGTGTACTGGGGTTCAGATCTCACTGGTGACAAAGGGACTAGGAAGTGAGCTGTGTGTACTGAGGTGTCGATCTCACTGCTGACAAGGGGACTAGGAAGTGAGCAGTGTGTACTGGGGTTCAGATCTCACTGGTGACAAAGGGACAAGGAAGTGAGCAGTGTGTACTGGGGTTCAGATCTCACTGGTGACAAAGGGACTAGGAAGTGAGCAGTGTGTACTGGGGTGTCGATCTCACTGGTGACAAGGGGACTAGGAAGTGAGCAGTGTGTACTGGGGTTCAGATCTCACTGGTGACAAAGGGACTAGGAAGTGAGCTGTGTGTACTGAGGTGTCGATCTCACTGCTGACAAGGGGACTAGGAAGTGAGCAGTGTGTACTGGGGTTCAGATCTCACTGGTGACAAAGGGACAAGGAAGTGAGCAGTGTGTACTGGGGTTCAGATCTCACTGGTGACAAAGGGACTAGGAAGTGAGCAGTGTGTACTGGGGTTCAGATCTCACTGGTGACA